ATTATGTGTTAATCTACTTAATTATATGTTACTCAATTGATGTATTATTATGTTATCGGTAAGGCTTCTGGTCAACAGTAGGCTGTTAGTAAAGTTTTGGGGGAATCAAACAAAATTTAAACATGGATTTTCAACTCCACAGGGTGGGAGGAGTCAGCCTTCCAACCCCTGCATTGGGAAAGGTCAACTGTACATTTAAAGCCCAGGGCAAGGGGAAATTTCCAATGTAAATAGAATAAAGGGCAGGAGATAAGCTGATGCTAAGAAATCTACACAAGGATTTTGAGAAAACAATAAAAATACAAAACTATATATTACATGGTAGTCTGTGCTTATTATCTAGATAAATAAAAATAATAATACCCATAAGAGAATTCATAAGAATACAGGGTGACCATACAGACCCTGAGGATAAGAATGTATAGGGCTGTTGCCATCACCTTGGCAATGAAGCTGGGTCTCGGGAATAAATGAATATGAGGATTGATATCACTAGGATACTTTTCATTCAGTTTTCATTTTTGCTCCTTTCAATATATCAGCTTCATTCTTCTCTTGCTGCAGACTGCTTTCTTCCCATGGCTGGAAAGGTAGCTTCTAACCTCTTGTAAACTTTTATGTATTTCACCTTTAGCCATCAAGGGAGAGGATGATCCTCTGTGTTTTCAGTTTAAAAATCCAAGGAAAGGCCCTGGCTGGTGTAGCTCAGTGGATTGAGCGCGGGCTGGGAACCAAAGTGTCCCAGGTTCGATTCCCAGCCAGGGTACATGCCTGGGTTGCAGGCCATAACCCCCAGCAACCGCACATTGATGTTTCTCTCTCTCTCTCTCCCTTCCCTCTCTAAAAATAAGTAAATAAAATCTTTAAAAAAAAGTAAAATAGAATTCAACAAGTCAACATAGTTTGTCTTTCATAATATAATGACAATTGTTGACTTAAAAAAATAAATCTAAAAAAAAAAAAAATCCAAGGAAAGAACTTATTGGCTGGGGCTTGTTTGGAAATCCTCCCAAACAAATCAAGCATTGCCCTGGGTCAGGAGCATGCTCACATGAGAACAGAGCACTTCCATCAAGAACTGTGGGAGAAGTAGGGAGAAGGTCAGCATCTAGAATCATGAGAGATGCAGAGCCCCTCAGACATCCAGTTTATTTCCTCTTTCCTTCTTCCATTCTTACAGAAGTTGCCCTGGGGTTAAAGCACCTAACTTCTTTTTGCCTTTTTCTAAAGGAAATTTTTAAATTTTTTTTTAATTTTAAAGATTTTATTTATTTACTTTTTTAGAAAGGGAATGGAGGGAGAAAAAGAGCAAGAGAAACATCAATGTGTGAGAAAGACATCAATCAGTTGCCTCTCTCACACCCCCAACTGGGAACCTGGCCTGCAACCCAGGCATGTGCCCTGGCTGAGGATCAAACCAGTGGCCTTTCAGGTCCCAGTCCTGTGCTCAATCCACTGAGCCACACTAGCCAGGGCTTTCTTGCCTTTTCTACAACTACTCAGTTACTGAACTATTATTCAATTCCTAAACTAGTGTTTTTACTGCCCTGCATGCAGATTTTAATGTTTTACTACAACATTTAAAAAAAGATTTCATTTACTATTTATTTTTAAAGAGAGGGGAAGGGATGGAGAAAGAAAGGGAGAGAAACATTGAGCGGTTGCCTCTCCCACATGCCCGAACTGGGAACCAGGACTGCAGCCCAGACATGTGCCTTGATCAGGAATTGAACCAGCAACCTTTTGCTTTGCGGGGCAATGCTCACCCAAGCCTCACCAGTCAGGACACTACAACATTTTTAATGCCACTTTCAAACTTGTTCCTTTCACTAATATGGAATGTCTTTTTTTCCAGTAAGGTGGTTAGTGATTATTAGAGCATACCAATATGATTTTCCTTATAATTTCTGAGTATGACATGCTTATTTGGTTAGTAGTAACACATTACTATTTAAGCCAAAAGTCAGATATTTTATAACTGACTGTTTTATAACTGATTATATTGAGCACCTATTTGCCCTTCTAAAAAAATATCACTGTCTCACAGAAAATCATCACCACTACTAGGAAAATAACTGAAAGATCTTGGTGTAATTAGAACAATATGACCAAATGTGTTTGGTTTTAACTGTGTTTCCTGAGGAAAGGGAAGTTAGCAAATATTTTCTCCTTTTCAACAAGGCAATTATGTTCCTATGCAAGACAGCCTTAAATTGCTGAAAAAACAGAGGAAATGTCATAAGACATATAGAAATTTCTAAATATTAAAAATGTGGACATTTCCTTTGTGAAATTAGGACTCTGAGTATAAAATGAAGCAGAATCAAGTGAAAAAAGCCATAGGTATCACATGGCACCCAGGAAAAGGATAAAAACCTTCTGTCTCCTGCTTTTTCCACATAGTCCTATATGGGAACTAGTTCACTTCCCTGATCAGTGGAAGCAAAAGGGAAATTCTGTACTTCATCATTAATGTATGAATGTCAGTGGTCCTGGCTAGATGGGATTTAGTTAGGTTAATATTCAAACCAAAATGACACGGTCTTTTCCCCATATGCACAACTGTTAACACCTCAAACTAATTGTGGTATCCAGGAAAATAAGATGCCCCCCTAGTGCACACACCTTGCATAACTCCCTCCCTTAAGGGCAGGCAGAAATTGTGAATATGGAGGGATATCACTCCAGTGATTAAGTTGACTTTAAGTTAAAAAGGAATTATTCAGGTGGGCCTAACCTAAACATATGAGCCCTTAAAAAGTCTCGGTGCATTTCTTCAAGAGATTCAAATGGGAGAGCACATATGGAAGGGGCCATGTTGCAAGCAACTACATGGGTCTTTAAGAGCTGAGAGCAGCACTGCCCATCTGATGGCCAGGAAGAAAATGGGGGTCTCCGTCCTACAGCTTAAGGAAATGGAATTCTACAAACAAGCACATGAGTTTGCAAGAGGGCTTGCTTGAAGCTCTAGAAAGGCATGCAGCCTGGCCAACACCTTGATTTCAGCCTTGTCAGCAGTGTGGAGCAGTGAACTCAGCGGTGTCATGCCCAGATTTCTGAACTACAGTAACAGTAAGATAATAAATAAGAATTAATATAAGCCACTAAATTTGTGGTAGTTTGTTATGCAGCAATAGAAAACTGATACACATGTATATATGTATACAGTCAAGTGCTGCATGGCATCCTTTTAGTCAACAGAGAATTACATATTCAACAGTGGTCCTATAAGATGGTAATGTAGTTGAAAATTCCTCATCATTGACATTGTAATACCGAGGTCCTTGTAAGCTCAGAGCACAATGAATTACTCATATGTTTAATAAGCCAGTAATAGAAAGACAAGTACCATATGATTTCACTCATGTGGGAACAAAATAAACTAACAAGAAACATAGAGACAGACTCATAGAGAATAGGCTCACAGTTGTGTGGGGTAGGGTGCTAGGGGAGGTGCAGGGATTGAGCAAAAAAGAAAAAAATAGAAAAAACTCATGGACACAGTCAACAGTGTGATGACTGCCAGAGTGAGAGGGGAGTGGGGGAGGTAGACAAGAGTACAGTGGGGATGAATGATGATGAAACTTGACTTGGTGTGGTGAACACACAATACAGTGTACAGATAATCTGCTGTAGAATTATGAAAGGTGTATAATTTTGCTAATCAGTGACCCCAATAAATTCAATAAAAAGGAAAAAAATAAAAGAATTACGTTTGTGGTGATGCTCCTTTAAACAAACCAACCAACCAACAAACTTACTGCACTGACCATCTTATAACAGTAGCACATACAATTTTGTGCAGTACCTAAAGCTTGATAACAATGATAAACCATTTTACTGGTTTATGTATTTACTATACTATATATTTTTATTATTTTAGAATGTACTCTTTCTACTTATTAAAAAAATGTCAGGTGTAAAACAGTAGGCCCTGTTACTCTGGCAGCAGCATCATACATCTGGTGTTTACCGTGTCTCTTGATTGCGGCATTTTCTTTTGTGTTTGATTTAATCTCATGTTGTTTTGTACAGTAACATGCTGAACAGGCTTATAGCCCAGGAGCAATAGGTTACACCATATAACTAGGTGTATAGCAGGCTATACTATCTAGGTTTGTATAAGTGCTTTCTATGATGTTTTCACAATGATGAAATTGCATAATGATGTAGAGAAGACCATTCTGCGTGGCGAGTGCCCAGACAGGACCCACACCATAGTCAGGTTCTCCCGTGGGGAATCAGGCCTACATTGTACCTAGGCCACTTTGAGACTTGCTTTTTGTTAAAACTCCCTCACCCTGAATTGAGGCAGCAAACATTTACTGCATATCTTTAAAGTAACTTCCTAAAATCTATGCTAAACCTTCCAAGGGTGAGTGTAACCAATTCAACCGCTTTTCCCTTTTCATTTACAAATATCCTTCTTTTGTGATGTGATTAGCAGCATCCTCTTTGTTTTCTGTAAAAGGTAACCACCTAAAGCGAATCTGTACATAGTAAATTAGGACCATCAAATAATGTGCCCAGAAAAGCCATAAAAGCTTGTCAAGGCAAGGGCCAAGGCTTTTTCTCCTCTTGAGAGAGAAGCTGCGCCATCCCTTTTCCTCCATAGGACTTAGAAGTCCGTGTGAATTTGTTGTGTCTCATCCACAATGTTGCGGACCCCACAGGCCAGGTCCACGTCAATGATGCATTTGTCAGCATATATCCCTGTTATAGGGATATATGTTATATAACCAAGTGGCACATGGCTATATTTAAAATATGTTAATATACTGTCACTGCACAACAAAGAAATTAGAATTTACAAGACAGCTGTTCCAAACTGACATAAAGACCATGTTTCTTACCACCAAATAAAAACGTTTGCAAATTTTATGGTACTAACTGGCTTAATGACTTTAAATTATTTGCTGAGTTTTTAGACATTACTCTACAATTTCACTATACTTTCTTCAAAAGTTGAAAGTTACATAAAGCATACTCAATGATATTACCTTAATATCACGAACTTCATATGCTATCCTGTGGTCAGTGACTCTATCCTGGGTGAAATTATATGTCCGAATTCTCTCTGACTGGGCTCTTGTTCCCACCTGTGCCATAATGAAAAGCAATTCATATTTTAAATTTATAATTACCTTTTTACAATGAAAAAAAAACCTTGTAAATTACTTTTGTATTTCAACAGGTTAAATGTTTTCTAAAGTTATATATACAAAGTGGAAAAGAGCAAGAATGGACAGAACTTAAGTTTTAAAGCTTAGTTACGGAATAAGAATTTACATCTCTTTGGTACTTCACACTCCAATTATATAAAACCAATTATCTTTCTACTCCACTTAGTTCTTCCTCTTAGTTTCTATAAATGACACCACAATGTTCCCTTTGATCCAAGTAGAAAACTCTGACATCCTGCAATTTAACAAACATTTCATGAGATCTTACTATCTGCCAAGCTTTGATACAGACACTGAAAATCACCTTAAACTAATCCCATTCTCTACTTGCCCATTTCCAATGGTTTCAAGGATCTCTTATTACATCTTTTTTTAAGTATGTCTTTAAAAAAGTTATTTATTTATTTATAGAGAGGAGAAGAGAGGGATAGAGAGAAAGAAATATCAATGTGTGGTTGTCTTTTGAGCACCCCCTACTGGGCCCCTACATACCTGGCCCACAACCCTGGCATGTACCCTGACTGGGAATCAAACCGGCCAAATTTTGGTTCACAGGATGGCCCTCAATCCACTAAGCCATACCAGTCAGGGTTCTTTTTAGATGTTGCCCTTTCCATTTCTACTATTTATCAGTCAAGGGCTCTTTACTTCCTATAAAATCTTCTGGTTAATCTTCCAATTCTCTGCTTACATTGTGTTGCCCTGCTTAGTCTTCCTCAAGCACAGTTTTATGATCAATTCTCTTCTTTGGTTCTTTATCTACTAAGCAGACACAACCCAACTCAGACTTCAAGGCACTTCATAATGTGGCCAACTTTCCCAATGTGATTTCTAAAAATGATGTGTACCTCTATAATGCTATTTATTATACCATATCATTATTATGTGTGTGTGAACTTTGCTAAATTATCTCAAGGGATGCCCTTCGCTAATACTCTCCCACCATCTTTGCCAGTCCTGATCCCAATAACTGAAATATGTTATTTGCCTCCTTTGAAACTCCACACCTTGGAATCTTCATGGTACACCAAAGTCTGCCTTATGCTATGGCTATTTATATTCTTCTTATTCTTCTTACCTCAATATATGATACACACAATACCCTCTCACTCCCTGTCACCTTTTAAGATAAAAAAGAGACGTTTCTATAGCTTATTTTCTAAAGCAAATAATATGAAACTAAACTCCTAAATATGGCTGATCATCAGGAGAGTCTTATAAAATTAAAGATTCCACAGCCCAAGCCCAGATATATTGAATCAGGAATTGTGTGTTTTATTTATGTTATATAATATATTTTTTTAAATCTTCACTTGAGTACACTTTTTCAATTGCCTTTTTCAGAAAGAGGGGGAGGAGGAGAGAAAGACAGAAACACCAATATAAGAGAGAAACATCAACTGGTTTCCTCTTACAGGCTCCCCGACCAAGGATTGAATTTACAACCCAGGCATTTGCCCTGACAGGGAATCAAACCCGTGATCTTTCAATGTATGGGACAACATTCCAACCAACTTGAGTCACACCAGGCAAAGCAGGGATTGTGCATTTTAAAAATATTTCTTAGGCCATCCATTCTAGAACCAGCAGGTTTAGAAACCACTATCCCAAAGCATGGTATCAATGCCCAGGGCCCCACCTAGACCAATTATATCAGAATCTCTGAGTGTGGGGCCTAGATATCTACAAATCTCTGTAGGTAATAGTGGAGCCAGGGTTGAGAACCTGGCATAATGCCTTCCATATAAAAGCTACCATATAGAACCACAGAAATGGAGATCACATGGAAGGTTAGCAACAGGGGAGTGGGAGGAAGAGAGAGGGGGAAAAGGTACAGAGAATAAGTAGCATAGATTGTAGGTTGAAAATAGATAGGGGGAGGGTAAGAATAGTATGAGAAATGTAGAAGCTGAAAAACTTATAAGTATAACACATGGACATGAACTAAAGGGGGGCAAGTGGGTGGGAGGGGGTGTGCAGGGTAGAGGGGAGTAAAGGGGGGGAAAGGGGACAACTGTAATAGCATAATCAATAAAATATTTTTTAAAAAGCTACTGTATATATTAGCTGAAGAAAAATTTCTAAGCATTAGATATAGCTACTAAGAAATTTCAAACAGATGGACAAGTTAATTGGGAAGCATGGAGGTCTCTTCTGGCCTTTCAAACTGGACAACTAAAAACGATATACACATACAATTCTTGTAGGGCCAATCTTAAATACTTATTTTAAAAATTAGTATGTGAGCTCGGGCTGGTGTGGCTCAGTTGGTTGAATGTCAGCCCACAAAGCAAAAGGTCACTGATTCAATTCTCAATCAGAGCACATGCCTGGGTTGTGGGTTTGATCCCCAGATGGCACGTGATGAGAAGCAACTGATCCATGTTTGTCTCTCACACTGATGGCTCCCTCTAAGTCTCCCTCTGTTTCTCCCTCCCTTCCCTTCTCTCTAAAAATAAATAAATAACATCTTTAAAAAATTAATATGTGAAACTTTTACTGCCAAAACAGCAAATGGCAAGTAAATCCAATGTCTTTTATTAACTCGAATGTGGCAGATTTCACAATGTTTATATTACTGCTCATTTGCCAAGAAGTAATGGTTCGTAAATGAGCTTTCTTATCTGTAAATGTATACACTGATGCTGTGCCACAATCTGGGATTACCACAATAGACAAGTAACATATTATTTATCCTGTTGCTTTTAACTACTTTCAGATTAGAATGTGGATAAGGGAAATCAGAAGGAAAAACGTATAAAAAGACTAGGACATCTAAGCAAAAAGAATCTTTAGTTTTATGAAACTGATTATTCTATAAAGCCACAAAATCTTCCAAATTTACCGTTGCACACCAATCTGCAGATAACACAAAAAGCACAGTTATTTCTAGGTTTCGCTTTCTCTTCTAATGTGTCTCAAATACAAACTATGTTTTTTAGGCTTTAAAATCATAAAACACTTTGTTTACCTAAAACAATTACATCTATTCATTGTGCTTACAACCTATCTGTGTATTTAAATAAATAATACTGTTTTTGTATACAGTACAAAATTCAAAAAGTACAAAATGGTATATAATGAAAAATAAATCTTCTACTCCTTGCCCTAGACTCCATCAGTAGCAATCACTGTTAGCAGTTTTTGCAATGTCATTTATTTTTTATCTCACAGAGGGTTATGAAGCATAGGTTTTTTAGATTTTAAAAAATCTCCTTGCCCTGGCTGGTGTAGCTCAGTGGATTGAGCTTGGGCTGCGAACCAAAGTGTCGCAGGTTTGATTCCCAGTCAGGGTACATGCCTGGGTTGCAGGCCATGACCTCCAGCAACCACACATTGATGTTTCTCTCTCTCTCTCTCCCCCTTCCCTCTCTATAAATAAATAAAATCTTTGAAAAAATATGTTTTAAAAAAAATTCTGTTTGTTTTTTTAAAAAAAAATCTTAATTTCCAGAGAATTATTTCATTTTTTACACTAATTTCCTCTCAAGACAGCTATGATATAAACACTGGAGAGAAACAACTAGGAAATAATTTTTAGTTTATGCATATGCCCTCTACTCATTCACAAACTGGCATGTCCAATTTTAGTCATAATCTGTCAGTCCAAATGCATTTAAAATACTGCTCATTTATAAATAAGCATGTTTCCCTATGCTTTACTACACATCCATTCAATCAAAAACAAATACTACATGTTCTATATAACACGACTTTTGGTACAAAGGTTAAATTATTATACCAAACAAATCTTACCTGCAGTTTTCTAGCACTTTGTTGTTGACACTTGTCTTTTTCAATAATCTGCTGGTAGAGTCTAGCTCTCAACACACGCAGAGCTATTTCTTTATTTTTTATCTGTGATCGTTCTTGTTGGCATTCTACTACAAGCCCTAAAAAATAACAGAGATCAGAGGTAAACTGTAGTCTCCACAAACCAAATTAAGGTAGTAGTGAGATGTCAGTTATACTTCAATAAAACTGGAAGAAAAAAGAGACAGACTTGAGGAATATTTTAAAGGGGGAAAGGTTAATCAGGAAAAGATAACAAAGGATGAAATACATTTTGGATTTAGTATACTTCAGAAACTGCACCTGGGTTATGATGGTAACAGCGGTAGACAGCTATTTAGATTCTGATATCTAAATGACATATTTCACATGAGAAGACTGAAAGCAGTAGCATCTGATGGTGGTTACATATACTTTCATTCTCAGAACTCTGCCTCTCCAGCACAGCTCATCCAGATACTACTTTTGTAGCTCAACAAAGAACAAAATACTGTCACCCGAATGTAGTACTCCATTCTCTGTCCTACTTGAGTAGTCAGCTTTTCCACTTTAAATCACAAATGCAGAGTTATGTTTTAAAAATGACTTTATATATAGAAACCATTAAAAAAAATTGCTCAAACTCTTTCAAAGGAAAAGTTTATAGTGAATGTTTCTCAGTTGTCTTAGTTCTAAATCCAGCTAATCAACACATCTAGTCATGTTTCGGGTTGCCAACTTCTGAATATGGGTGAGTTCAGCCCATTGTGGAGCCCAAATCAAGCCCCGGAATTGTGACACCTTGAAACTTTAGGCTGCTGTTTTGAACTTCGCAGCTACCAGTCGGAAGGTCTGTGTGCAATTCTGCTCCCAGGTACATCAGAGGACCCACTGCACTGATAAGGCAGTAACTATTTTGCTAGAAATTTAAAAATGTCTATAAAATTCTACTCTACAAACTACTGCCAAGGGATTGTGCCACCTGAATTGTAAATCCTGAAATTGCTAATGACTTTCTTGTCTTCTTGTTTTCTCTTAATTCTCTAACATAATCCCTGACAAAAGCAGGCTGAAATCAAGAAAGGGCTGTTTGGTTTTTTGGTGGGGAGTTTTATGAGTTCTTTATAAATTTTGGATATTAACTCCTTATCAGATGTATCATTGGAGAATATGTTCTCCCAAACAGTAGGTAGTCTTTTCATTTTGTTGATGGTTTCTTTTGCTGTGAAAAACTTTTTAGTTTGATATAATTCCTTTTGTTTCCCTTGCCTGAGGAGATATATCAGAAAAAACATTGCTACAAGCAATATCTGAGATTTTACTGCCTATGTTTTCTTCTAGGGTTTTTATGGTTTTGAGTCTATTAAGTCTTTGATCCATTTTGAATTTATTCTTATGTGTAGTGTAAGAAGGGGGTCTAATTTCATTTTTTTGCATGAATCTGTCCAATTTTCCCAGTACTATTTATTGAATAAACTATCTTTAGCCCATTGTATGTTTTTGCCTCCTGTCAAATATTGACTATAAAGTCACAGGTTTATCAGAGTGAGCTAAGCTTGTAGGTAGGAACCAAATAAGGAACTCAAGAACCACAACTAAGAAATTAATTTAAGCTAGAAAATACCATCATGATGAAAGATAAGTGAACTTTAGATGATCTATGACTGACATATTAAAATCACCATGGAGGTGGGAGGAAAGCTCTGCTAGGCACATTCTGGGTGGTGTGCAGAAGGAAGGGGGGAGCTGCACATATGCTCCCTTTCCTATGGAATGTGTACCTCCTTGGAGAAATTTGATTCTCGAGGCTCTTGATTTGTTTCTTAGTCTTTCCCTGATCCTTTAAAATTACCCAATTATTTCATTAGAGTGAAAAGGTGCTTTCTGAATGCAAGCTCACCCTCCTCCATTCCCTGATCAAAGAATAAAGTTTCTGTTCTGCTTTGCTGAACTCTGTATTGTTTTACTGGTGTGAGAGACACTGGATGGAAGGACCCTGATCCACAAGGGTCAGTGACCTTATGTTTTCGCCCTGCCTAAATAATCTACAATCTACACCAACTAACACTTTAAGGAGGACACCCAGGTTTTACATCTTTTAGTTCAAATTTATTTCTTTGTTTTTTAAAATCCTCACCAGAGGGTATCTTCATTGATTTCAGAAAAAGAGGAAGGGAGTGAGAAAAAGAGAGAGAGAAACATCGATGTGAGAAATAAACATTGATCAGTTGCCTCTTGTACATACCCCACCCACCCAGGAACTGGAATCAACAACCTAGGTATGTGCCCTGATTTGAGAATTAAGCCCACAACCTTCTGGTGCACAGGACGGCACTCCAACTAACCGAGCCATCCTGCCAGGGTTAAACTTATTTCTTGACTGCTTTACTGCAGCCACGTGTTTGAGCTGGAGTACCAACTGGCTTCCATCTTCCAGGCATTTGCCTGGAACTGTCTTAAATCTGGTATCCTTTTTTCACCACCTAAAAGAATATGAAAATTTCCATTTCAAGACAGCTAGACAGTCATAAGATTTCTTTGAAATTCATCTCCTTGTCAGCGGACCTGTACTGATTTTTGCTTAGACTCCTGCACTATTCCTATCCAGTAGCTCAGGCTAGAACTTACATAGCATAACACTCTTACTTAGCAGCTCAGTAATTCCTAAGAGAGTCTTGTGATCCTATCTTTTCTTATATGGGAGTATTTAGTCATAAGTACTCCCTCAAGAATAGAGGATTTGGGGGGTGAAAAGGTGTGCTAAATAATAGAGGACCTGTTGAAATAAGGTGCTGGGGTTAAAAAACTATAAAAGGGCTTTTAGAAAAAATAAGTTTTCTCAGTATTGTTTCAGTACTCTACAGGAGATTTCAAAACTGTAGGTAGTAATAGGACCAAATGGTATTTAACATGTATTTGCTGTGTAACTACATATATTATTTAAAAGATTTTCAATTATAAGTGAGAAAAATACCATATAATTTTTTTAACTTCTTTGAAATTGAATTGTATCTTACAATCATCAGCATAGTTCAATTAACAGTATTTTTTATATTTCTTCATAGGAATAAAATAGTCATTTGTTTTTCAATTGATGGGTTCTTAGATGACATAAGTTATACACAATCAAAGGTTAAATAAAAATGGAGTTATATAGAAGCAGTAGGTTAGAAAAAATGTGATTCTTCAGAGTTCATGTGCATGGAGGAAATGGAAGAATGACCTACAGTTCTCACTTTCAATTCTATCAAGAACACTGTTCCCACTCTAAGGGTCTTGGGATGGAAGAAATAGCAGAAAGGCTGAGTTTTCCTTGTAGAAGGTGCTGAAATCATGTCAAACTTCAAAGTAGGAAGATGACAACTCATAAATCACTTGCTCATAACTATATGGATTCATAAGAGTTAATAGGCCATGATATGCCTTGCCTAGGAAAGGCCTGAGGGTAAGGCTTGAGGCCTGTTTTACATCCAAGAACCAGATCTAAGTGGCTAAAAAGTAATTTGACCCAAGGTAAGTTTGGCAACACAAATAACAGTCACTTTTTGTAAATTAAGTAATTTATGGCTTCACAGGGTGGTTTTACAATCCTTTAATATGTTTTAAGGTATTCTGACTCATTTCATCAGAATTTTTATCACCTTTTATCCTACTTTTTCTCATTTTATCTTAAGCTAATTACTACTGTTCCAGACTGCTTATAATATAGAACAGTATCTCACAAAATAAAACACAAATATCCAATAATTTGCACATTTCTGTCTTTTAAGATTTATTTATTTTTAGAGGGAGGGGAAGGGAAGGAGAAAGAGAGAGATAGCACTGATCGGTTGCCTCTCCAAACACAATATATACAGAGAAAAAGCAAATGGAAGAATAGTAAATGGCTTAGCAGAGGGGAGAAAGGTGAAAACTTAGCTCCCTGTTGATGGAGATGATCAGAAACAAGCCTATTTGCCCTGCTGAGTGTCAGAAAGGTTTAGGAATTGAGGAATCAGTTAGTTCAGAAGTTGGAGATAAGGATTTGGGGACTAAAAACAGTCTTGAAATAGAAATTCAAGTCTCCTCTCTCAATCTGTAGGAGGCAGGAGGTAAAGTCTCTAGATAATTAAACAAGGAATGTTCTAGACTTGAGACTAGATACAAAGAAGGGCAAATATGAAGCATGGCACTGAAAACAAGATTAGTAAAAGTTTGTTATTGAATAGTGAAATCTTGACCTTACTCTGCTCTACCCTGGATGATCCTTCTCAGAAGATACTATCCAAAAGAAAAAGATCTACAAACACTGGCATTTGGTGGTTCCTAATTTTAAAAAAGCTGATTAATCACTTAACTGCCCTGCAGTAAAACTTACTAGTGGATAAGTGGCACCCACGCACTCAAAGCTTTTAGAACCTCACTGTTAAAAGTGTACAGGCAGTCAAGCATACCTAGACATTTCCAAAATGAAAGTAATACTGAAACAAACAAGAAAAATAAATTCAGAGGAAACAGAGACACTGCAGGAAGCAGAAAAAAACTTCAAGGAAACTAAAATAAATACAGAGTCTGGCAGAAGTAATGCTTGCTTGAGTATGGTTGGTAGGGTAAAAATATGGGTGTAATAATTTATAGTTTTAATTTGAACATTTCACCTAAAATGTGGTATGGTGTGCTTGAGTGTGATATTGTTATGTTACAGAATTACACGCTTATGATTTTGTAATAAAAGGTTTTATAACAAAAAGGGGTGTTATTTGTGCCAGACCCTGCACACTTAGGTAATAAAATAAGAAAAATGCATCAACAAGATAACAAAAGGGTGCTAGAAAAAAGAGACAATTCAGGGAATAAAAGTAAAAAGAAAATTAAAACAATGTGATACATGATGTAAGAGAAAAAAGAAAATAAAACAATAAATTTAAGAGGTCTAATATCTGACTAATAAAAATTCTGGGAAGGACAAAAAATGGTGAGAAAAATTTACTGAAGAAAATTTTCAGAATTAAAGAACATGAGTCTCTAGATAGAGAATAGACTGACAGCTGTCAGAAGGGAGGGGGTGTTGTGTGGCTGGGTGAAAAAGGTGAAGAGACTAAGCAAAAAAACAAAAACAAAAAACAAACAACCCACCTCATGGACACAGACAACAGTGTAGTGATTGCAGGGGAAGTGGAAGAGGGCATAGGGGGGATAAATGGTAATGGAAAGAGACTTGTCTTGGGGTAGTGAATACACAACACAATATACCGATGATGTCTGACAGAATTGTACATCTGAAACCTATAAAATTTTATCAAGTAATGTCACCCCAATAAATCCAATCAAAAATAAAATAAAGGGCATGAGTTTCCAAATTGAAAGTAACAAATACAATGAATTATAAAACACTTAAATGTTCCAAGTGAAAATGATTTTCAACAAGTGTTCATGATCAATGAAGGGTGAGAATAAAAGTATTCAGAGGTAGAAAGTCTGAAAATACTTACATCTCATGCATCTTTTCTCAGGAAACAACTTAAATATGAGCTTCTCTAAAATGGGGGAGTAAACCAAGAAAGATGAGATGGGATCCAAGAAACAGGAGGCTCAACACAAAATAGAAATTAAGGGAATTCCCTGACTGTTGGTGACCAGAATAACCTCTGCAGCCCAGGAGAGCAACCTGTCCAGACTGGAGCAAGACAATGGAGTAGTCTGTTAGAGGTGTCACCAAAAGCATTAGCCTTGTGCCCTGACAAGTGTGGCCCAGTTGGGTGTCATCCCTCATAGTGAAGGGGTTGCAGGTTTGATTCCTGGTCAGGCACATGCCTGGGTTGTGGGTTTTGTACTCTGTAGGGGTCCATATGGGAGGCAACCAATCAATGTTTCTCTCCCTCTTTTTCACCTTCCCTCCCCTTCTCTCTAAAAATAAATAAATAAGTAAATAAATAAATAAATAAACAAACTATTTTTTGTACAAAAAAAAAAAAAAAAAAGCATTAGCCCTGAAGAAAACTGGGTTAATTTCAGTTTACAGAGCTTTTGGAAGTTATAGGAAGACTTAGGGTCAAAAAAGAAAATAACTAAGCAAATAAAAAAACGAGGTAATTATTAACTTTAGGAATTAAAATTACAGTATATTACTTGGCTCGGCAGGGAACACTATTTACCTGCTCCTTATATAAAAACATTAAAGAATTAATTTTTCCAAAATACGAACCTATTAGGAAGGGGAAAGGAAGATATTTATTATGAGAGAGCCAAAACCCTCATCTACTATATTAGTCAATATATAACCTTATAATTACTTAATTAAATCTAACTATTATTTAGAAACACTGAGATGATTACCAGAAAAAATAGTTAAAAGAGCTTAAAGTGGTTGTGTCTGAGTAACAGAAATTTAGGATCAAGGAAAGAAAGAGGGAGAAGAAGAAGCAGTCCACTGAGCTGCTGTCTTTTGTTATAGGACTTCACCATTAGACTTTTAAAACCATATACTTGTAATATAGAAATGGATTTTTCTTTTAAAATTCATTTAAAAATGAATTAAAATGAGTTAAAAATATGAAAAATGAGACTTCCAGTCAAGATGGAGATGTAAATAAACATGTCTTACTTCCGTGTACAACTATAGCACAAAATAAAACTAGACTATAAAATATCACCCAGAATTGTCAGAAAATCGAGCTGTGTGGAAGTCCAACAACCAAGGATTTAAAGAAGCCACACTCATCCAACAGGTAGAAGGGTTGGATACACAGAGATGTAGACAGGTGCAGAAAGGCTTGGAGACACGGACTGGCATGGAGACAGGAACAAGCGGTCCCACATCCACATGTGGTAGATAAAAAATGGGAGGGATATCTTGGGAGCAAGGGATCCCAGCCCTAATCCAGACCACCCAGCCCAGAGTTCCACACCAGGAAGATAAAACCCCATAAATTCTAGCTGTAAAAAACAGTGGGGGTTGGGGCAGTGGAAGAAACTGCAGAATTCTTACGAGACTCCTCTTAAAGGGCACACAACAGAATTAAGACTCACACAGACCCACCCTCTCTGGGATTCAGCAACAGGGCAACAGCTGGAAGGGTACCAGGGGCATATGGGGAGAAAGTGAAGTGTGATTGCAGGGAGACGGCTTCCTCCCAGGCAAAACTCTAGAGGCCAGGCAGAGGTATTATGCCCACAATAAGCCCTCCTCCACACAAAACAACAAAGCTGTAACACAGGTTGCCCTATCCCATACAACTTAATAGGTGTGCTTTTCTATAATAGGCCACACTACTAAGACAGATTCAAAGCAGCTCTACCTAATACACAGAAACGAACACAGGGAAGCTGTCAAATTGAGGAGACAAAGAAATATGGCCCAAATGAAAGAACAGAACAAAACTCCAAAAAGAGAACTAAATGAAGTAGAGATAAGCAACCTATCAGAAGCAGAGTTCAAAACACTGGTGATCAGGATGCTCCAGAAACTCACTGGGTACTTCAATAGTATAAAAAAGACCCAGGCAGAAATGAAGGTTGCATTAACTGAAATAAAGAAAAATCTACAGGGAACCAACAGTGGAGTGTATGAAGCCGAGGATCAAATCCATGATTTGGAACACAAAGAAGGAAAAAGCATTCAATCAGGAGAGGGTTGAAAAAAGAATTCAAAAAAATGAGGAGAGGCTTAGAAACTTCTATGACATCTTTAAACATTCTAACATCTAAATCATAGGGATGTCAGAAGGAGAAAAGGAAGAGCAAGATATTGAAAAGTTATTGAAAAAAATAATGAAAGAAAACTTCCCTAATTTGGTGAAGGAAGTCAAGGGAGCACAGAGTCCCAAGAAGATGAACACAAAAAGAACTACACCAAGACACATCATAATTAAAATGCCAAAGGTTAAAGATTAAGAGAGAAACTTAAAAGCAGAAAGAGAAAAGCAGACAGTTACCTACAAAGGAGTTCCCATTAGACTGTCAGCTGGTTTCTCAAAACAAACTCTGCAGGCTAGAAGGGGCTGGCAAGAAGTATTCAAAGGGACGAAAAGCAAGGACCTACATCCAAGATTACCCTATCCAGCAAAGTTTTCATTTAGAAGGAAGAGCAGATAAAGTGCTTTCCACACAAGGTAAAACTAAAGGAATTCATCATCACCCAGCCATTATTAAATCAAATGCTAAAGGGAATTATATAAGAAAAAAAGAAGATCAAAATGATGAAATGGCAATAAATTCACAACTATCAATAACTGAATCCAAATGACAAACTAGGCAAACAAGCAGCACAGAAACAGAATCACAGATATGGAGATCATTTGGATGGTTATCAGCTGGGAAGGGAAAGGGCAAAATGGAGGTAAAGGTACAGGGATTAAGAAGCTCAAATTGGTAGGTACAAAATAGACAGGGGGATGTTAAGAACAGTGTAGGCAACAGAGTAGCCAAAGAACTTATATACATGACCCATGGACATAAATAAGGGGGGATTGCTAGAGGGAATGCAGGTACCAGGTAGAGGGGGGCAAAGGGGAAAAATTGGGACAACTATAAAAGCATAATCAATAAAATACATTTTTTAAAAATTTGGAAAATGATAGAAATATTGAAAATCACATTAAGGACTGTAAAATTACCTCACAGTGTACCAAAATGACCAGTATCTAAATGTGTTCAACTGCTGTCAAAATGGGCAAGTTTACTGGTCCTGGCCAGATGCTATTCCAGACACAAAGTGGTCATCATGGAGAACACATATGATGACTGAGGTGAGAGAGATGGGGAGAGGGAAAGAGAGGGGAAGAAAGGAGGAGGAGGAGAGAGAGAGAGACACTACACTCAGATGGTTGTTGGAGCCAAGGGTAGGTACCAGGAATGATCTCCTGTTGTAGCTGGTTATACTAACTAAATATAGTGATGAGGAGCCCGCCTAAATCTGGCCTGTTTGCTTCTTCTAAGCCATGTGACCTGGGCTGGGTGTTCTAATCTCCATTTCCTCATCGTAAAATGAGTAATCATAGTTGCTACCTCATAGGCTCATTGGGAGAATCAATGTATCTGTAAAGCACCAGACTGCCCTACAGCCATGCTCTGGTGGCTGGAATTGACCACCTATCCCCGCAAAGTAACAGCCTCCATGGGCAAGAAGAAAATTGCCAAGAGGTCCAAGATCAAGTCTTTTGTGAAAGTTTATAACTACAATCAACTCATGCCCACAAGGTACGCTCAGGGATATCTCTCTGGACAAAACTGCTGTCAACAAGGACATCTTCAGAGTTCTTCTCTGAAATGCAAGGCCCGATGGGAGGCCAAAATCAAGTTCAAAGGGAAGTTCAAGACTGGCAAGAACAAATAGTTCTTCCAGAAGCTGCAGTTTTAGATCTTTTTTTGGTTTCAGTCATTAAAAATAAATAAATAATAACAGTGTTCACACAGCAGAGCCTAATGGAACTAGCAGTCAATCTATACAGTGATAAAAGATCCATCGCAGTGGCATGTCCAATACTATTTTCAAGTTTGTTTTTAAGCTAGGGTGCCTCTGGTTGCTTACTCCTGTAGCAGCTTCTCTGAATAGGTCCACTCACTCTCTGCCTCCTTTGAGAGAGGTGTCTTTTCCAAACAGAAAGTGTGTATGAACACATTGCGAATCTCAGACCTATGACCCCAATGTCACCTTGAAAGGGTTTGTGTGAGACACTAACATGGGACTCTTTCCTTCTAAATTATTTTATAAGTTATTAAAAAAAGTTAAAAGTACAAAAGCAAAGGGACTTGCTCACCTGTGGGGATATGGACAAGTCTGACAGCACTATCAGTTGTATTAACATGCTGGCCTCCTGCTCCTTTGGCCCGAAATGTATCTATTCGCAAATCCTTGGGGTCCACTTTCACATCTACCTAAAACAGAAAGTATAACATAAGTAAATTCTACTCTCAATGAATTACTTTCACACTAAATTTATTTAAAAAAATTTCAAATGTACTGTATTGCTTTGTGTCACAGCTATTAAACTAAGAGGTGAAATAAATTCCCTATTTCAAAGGATGGTATTTTTTTTTTAACACTGATGTAAGATGCTATGAGGTCACTACATTATTCAAGCTTTCAAGTTTCATCATCCATCATCCTATAAACTATACCAGACAGAAACTATATAAAATATATGGATGTATATATGTACCTATATATAAAGCTAATCCTCATTATTTCCCGATTCTGTATTTCAAAATTCACCTACCCACTAAAATTTGCTCTCCAAAATCAATTATTATAGCATTTTTACAGTCTTTAGAAGACATTTACATGCAACAAAAAGTTCAAATTGCTCTTACATGTGTACATTCCCAGCTGAGGACAAACAAGGTGATGATTCTCTGCCTTCTTATTTTAGTATGACCAGAGGATGAAGACAGGAAGAGAAACGGGGAGTGTGGTGCAAGAAGCTCTGACTCTGGGACTGGTTGAACAGGGTTTGAATCCCAACTCTGGGACCTGTTAGGGAGGTGGCCTCAGGAGAGTCACTCTGAACTTTGCCTTTTATATAATAAGTAGACTACCAGGATGGGTTGTTTTTAGGATTTAAGGTTATAATCTATGTGGGCTACATATATTTCCCCCTGGAGAAATGGTTCAGTATTTGCTAAATTGATGTTCACTGCGACTTTATAGAACATACTATGAAGAATGAGAATTGAGCATCTGTGTGTATGCACGTACACTAATTGCTGGGCTGAATGGAGGTACCCAAGAAATATATTCATATTCTAAACACTGGAACCTTATTTGGAAAAAGGGTCTTTACACATGTGATAGAGTTAAGATGAGATCATCCTGGACTATTCAGATAGGCCCTAAATCCAATAATGTTTCCTTAGAAAAGACACCTAGAGGAGAATGTGAATTCAGAGGCAGAAACTGGAGTTATACAGCTTCAAGACAAGAAACACCTGGAGACACCAGAAGCAAGAAGGTGCAAGGGAAGATTCCCCTCTAAAGCTTTGCAGGGAACATGGCCCTACCAATACCTTGATTTTGGAGATATACAAGGTCTGTCCAAACTTTCCAGGCATGTAGTATGAAAAATGGAGACATTTACTGAAGAAAATACAAGAAATAAAAAACAGTGCTTATAAGACAATGATGCCTCAGTCCCCTTCAAAGTAAGCACCTTGAGACCTCACACAGTTCTCCCAATCACCATCAGCTGCCCTATCATATTTTCCTGAATCTCATCGATGGTCTGAAACGTCTTCCCTTTCAAAGGTGATTTTAATCTTGGGAAAAGCCAGAAGTCACAGGGCACCAAATCTGGGCTGTAAGAGGCTGAGTTACATGGGTGATTTGATGTTTCTCCAAAAAAAAACTCTGCACGAGATGTGATGCATGAACAGGCACGTTGTCCTGGTGAAGCTGCCAACCACCAGTTGCCCATAGCTGCAGCCTTCTGAATCATCTGAATAGCTTCTGCAGAGGAATGTTCAAGCTTAACACAAAATGTGATGGAGATTCATTGCTCTAATCGCTCAGTCATTTTGAATGTGATGGCCACAAGGTACATGTGCTCAGTCAAAAGGGTCTATTGCCACTACTGACTAGTACAATGAAGTCATTGGTCATGTATGCACACTCCAGTCTACTCTCCCTGGCTGCCAGTTTACATGGATGTCATGCAAACCATTTTCATATTAACAACAATCAAACTTTTTCTGGACAGACCTCATACACATTCACCCATACCCACCCATAATAGTTCAAAAGTATGCTGTTTTTGAGGGGAGATTAAACATTCTGTTCCATATTTATCACTTATTTGTTTGACAGAAAGTATATGACTTTTCTCTTTGAAAAGTACAATAACAGGAGGTCAAGGTTACAATCTAATATACAACTTAGTTGGTTGTTCTTTTATTTCCTCTATAGGGAGTACAATATTGTGACGAAAAAGATTACCATATTTTTCAGGCCATAAGATGAACCTAGGTTTTAGAAGAAAATAGGAAAAAAAATTTTGAAGCAAAAAATGTGGTAAAATATTTAAAAACACAAATAACATATTTCACCAATCTAAATGTAAACAGAACTCAACAGCAGCATTAACAACCATTATTTCTCCTAAATTTGGAGGGGAAAAGTACATCTTATAGTTTGAAAAATACAGTATATAGCCTTTGTTAATATATGCCAGTGTTGGGTACCTAAATAAACACTAAAGAGGAAGAGTAATGTCTTATTTCTTGTGATTACAGTGTATGAAGTAGTTACATAGCAAGTATGTAGATATTATATGTGATATTTTCCCAAAGGTTACAGAAACTACCTACTGACTTTAGGGAAATTCTGAATATAGAAACAGTGACTTAATAGTATATAAAAAATTTTAATGTCAATTAAGGGAATAAGACCTTCTTCTTTTGGAAAAATAAAACTTCAGAGTTTAATTTTTGAGAATGTGAAAACAACAAGCAAATAGGTGGGAATGGAGTGGGAAAGAATAAAGATGGAAGGAAGACAACTCCATGGTTTTGATTTCTGATCATGTAAATGCTTATATATACCAAAAATAAAATGAGGTAAATAAATAAAACTTAAATAAATTTAAAAAATTAAAAATTAAATCTTAACATTAAATATAAACAGAAACAAATGAACCAAAATATTTACCATAATAATAGCATAACCATACAGAAAAACATATTTCACATTATCTTTTTTTTTAAGATTTTATTTATTTATTTTTAGAGAGGGAAGAGAGGGAGGGAGAGAGAGAGATAGAGAGAGAGAGAGAGAGAGAGACATCAATGTGCAGTTGCTGGGGGTTATGGCCTGCAACCCAGGCATGTACCCTGGCTGGGAATCGAACCTGGGACACTTTGGTTCCCAGCCCGCACTCAATCCACTGAGCTACGCCAGCCAGGGCCAGATTATCTTTTAACATAGTACTCTGACTATGCTTTTTTGGTAGATTATATTCTAAGGACAGAAATCTTAAATATTACTTAGTAATTTACTGAGTAATTTAAAAACTATTTTATACATATTGTATAATAAAGGAAAAAGTCAACATATTAATTTAAAAACAAGGTTTTTACTTGAAGTAGAGATACAAATACAAAATGCAAGACAAGGAAGCAAAGCTCCCTGTTAAATTGAATTGGTAATAATTATATAAACCTGTGATTTAAAATCACGTTTCTTAGCTCTGTCCACTGAAGAGTCTAGGTGTAAGCAAACTTCAGTAATAATGAATGAGCACATCCAGAACCCAGATCTTGATTTCCGGGTCCATTCCCCACTAAAAGGAATGAAGTCTGACCTCAAGTCAGAGGCAGAGGAGTATAAGGTGGGCCTGCTATTTGTAATTATACCAAAAAGGAAGGATATACTCAAAGACTGATAGGGTCATTTCAAAAGTGTTACTCTTTTGAAGGCTGCTACTGGCTAAACCTGGGACAATGTAAACATCAGAAACAATAATGATTATAACTCACTAAATTTAAAAAACAAATCTTTAAGTCTATAATGAGCTCAATATATGAAACTCAATATATAAGTTTATAATGACGTAAAATAGAAGAAAGCAAGAAAGAAGGAGACAAGGTAGTTTAGAGGAAAATTTTTACAGAAAAGAATGCTAGTTAATAAAAGTAGAAGGAATTATTAAATTAGAAAAATACCATCTTGTACCTCCAAAATAAATGATTCAAGCAAAAATGGCGTTAAAACCATGGAATAAAAGTTGTTGGGAATGAAATATGTATACCCTAGAGATTATTTAGTGATTGTAAAAGGAAAAACATACTTTTATAATGGAGATATTATTGTAATCACTGTCTTAACTAAATGTTCAAAGTAATCCTCACTAAAAGGACAGTCTGATACTACGTGTGTTCCGATAAGATGTAATGAATACAACTAAACCTATATTCTTGCTCAAAACATGTAACCTGAATAGAATGGAACATTTAGATATAATTTTCAATATAATACAGGGGATAAAGGAACAAGTTAAAAAGTTCCATGAGGAAACAATAAGATCTAGAATGTGGGACATGCTAAAAGAAAAATGGTCTAGACTGTTTTCACAGTCAACATCATTTAAAAAAAAAAGGGAGGTGGGAAACTCTTCCAGACTTACAGAAACTAACAAGAAACTAATGTATGAAACTCAACAGGATCCTGGTTTTTAAAAAATATATATATTTTATTGATTATGCCATTACAGTTGTCCCATATTCCCCCTCTTTATTCCACTCTGCCCTGCACCCCCTCTCCACCAGCATTCCCCACCCTTGGTTCATGTCCATGGGTTGTACATGAACATAAGTTCTTTGGCTTCTTCTCCATTCCCTATACTATTCTTAACCTCACCCTATTTTGTACCTACCATTTATGGTTCTCATTCCCTGTGCCTTTTTCCCCATTCTCACCCCTCCCACTCCCTACTGAAAACCCTCCATGTGATCTCCATTTCTGTGATTCTATTCCTGTTCTAGTTGTTTGGTTAGTTCGTTTTTGTTTTTTTTAGGTTTGGTTGTTGACAGTTCTAGTTTGCTGTCATTTTACTGTTCGTATTTTTTTATCTTATTTTTCTTAGATTAAGTCCCTTTAACATTTCATATAAGGGCTGGTGATAAACTCCTTTAACTTAACCTTATTTGAGAAGCACTTTATCTGCCCTTCCATTCGAAATGATAGCTTTGCTGGATAGAGTGATCTTGGATGTAGGTCCTTGCCTTCATGACTTGGAATACTTCTTTCTAGCCCCTTCTTGCCTGTAAGGTGTCTTTGGAGAAATCAGCTGATAATCTTATGGGAACTTCTTTGTAGGTAACTGTCTCCTTTTCTCTTGCTGCTTTTAAGGTCCTCTCATCTTTAATCTTATGTAATGTAATTATGATGTGCCTTGGTATGTGTATCCTTGGATCCAACTTCTTTGGGACTCTCTGAGCTTCCTGGACTTCCTGGAAGTCTATTTTCTTTTGCCAGATTGGGGAAGTACTTCTTCATTATTTTTTCAAATATGTTTTCAATTTTTTGCTCATTCTTCTCCTTGTGGCACCCCTATGATTTGGATGTTGGAACATTTAAGGTTGTCCAGGAGGTTCCTAAGCCTCTCCTCATTTTTTTGAATTCTTGTTTCTCATTCTGTTCTGGTTGAATGCTTATTTCTTCCTTCTGCTCCAAATGGTTGATTTGAGTCCCAGTTTCCTTCCCGTCACTGTTGATTCCCTGTACGTTTTCCTTTATTTCAATTTTCATAGCCATCGCTTTCTCCTCTATTTTGTGGCCATACTCAACCATCTGTGTAAGCATCCTGATTACCAGTGTTTTGAACTGTGCATCTGATAGGGTGGCTATCTCTTCATCATTTAGCTGTACTTTTTCTGGAGCTTTGATGTTCTTTCATTTGGGCTATTTTTTTTTGTCTCAGCACACTTGTTACATAGTAAGAGGTGAAGCCTTAGGTATTGGCCAGTGTGGGGCAACCCTGATTTGTCACCCTATATGTGGGGGAGGGGTCTAAGAGGGAACAGTGCTGCTTGCTCAGCTCTCGGCCAGCTTTCAGTCACTTCCTCCACTACCCACAAGCAAATTGGGCCCTTCTGGTGCTGATTCCGGGTGGGTTGGTGTGTGTACCTTCTAGGACACTATGGGCTCCTCTAATGAACTCTTCTGTGAGGCTGGGAGTTTCTCCTGCTGCCACAACACCCATACATTTTTTCGGTCAGAGGTTTTGAGGCTTTATTTCCCTGGGTTGGAACCCTGGATTGCTTGGTCTGTCTCGCTCCTCGGTTCCTCCTTGTTCCTCCTGGTTTAATCCACACGGAAATGTGGAACTACCTAGTCCTCCAGGAGACGGAAAAAAGATTGAAGCTCTGCAGCCTGGGTCCTCCAACTGCCACCTTGCCTCGAGTCCTCTCTGCCCCAGCTGCCCATCTCTGCCCCTCCTACCCATCTGGATGAATGTTTCTTTCTTAACTTCTTGGTTTTCAGATTTCCATACAGTTTGATTTTCTGGCAGTTCTGGTTGTTTTTTATTTCTAAATTTGTTGCTGTCCTTTTTTTGGTTGTTGGAGGAGGCACAGTGTCTCTACCTATGCCTCCATCTTGGCCAGAAGTCAGGACCCTGGTATTTAAAAAAAAACACTGCAAAATTACTTTAAGATGACTTGGGGAAACTATATGGAGTAGATATTAGACAAGTGTGATATTGTGATTTTTAATAAGAAATATGTATTTGGTCTTTGCCCAGTGCCTGGCAAAAGAGCTCCTAAAACCCTTAGAATTTCCTAAGTGTAAGAGTAAGAATGATATGGCTGTCCTTTTGTTATGCATAACAAGCCCTTTCAACCACACCTGAGTTTATGTTAATGTAATTATTGGAAAGCTCCTAGACCAGTTATTTTCAACTCGTGTTCCTCAAAAAATTTTAAAGTGTGCAATACCTGATTAACTAGGGGCACTGACCTCTTTTCCCTGAAATTGTCAGATAAAACAGGGACAACAGCCAACACAACATCAGTTGTCTGGTGTGAATAAATCAAAATTATACCTGTTTTTTGGGGGGTGGGGTATGTTACAAAATTTTAGTGATTAGTTATGTGTGTCATGAGATGGAAAAGATTGAAAACTGCTGCTCTTGATTACCATAGGATGGGGGCTGATTGCCAGGGGAACCAACCTTGTGATTAGAGGGTTGAAACTTTCAGCTTCACCTCTTCCCTGTCCCACCTCCAGGGAGGAGAGAGGGGCTGGAGATTGAATTAATCCCCAATTATCTAATCAATCATGATTACATATTGATGCCTCCATAAAAATCCCCAAATTTCAGGATTCAGAGAGCTTCCAGGTTTGGGAATTTGTGGTGGTGCCAGAGAGTCACATGCCTGGAGAGGATATGAAGCTCTGCAGCATTTCCCGTGTACTTTGCCCTAGGCATCTCTTCCATTTGGATATTTCTTAGTAGTATCCTTTGTAATAAATTAGAAATCTCTTAAGTGAACTGAGTTCTATGAGCCACTCTAGCAAATTATCAAACTCAAGGAGGGGTTGTAGGAACCTTCCAATTTATATAACCAGTTGGTCAGAAGCACAGGTAATACGTGGGCTTGCTACTGGCCTCTGAAGTGAGAAGGGAGGCAGTCTTACGGATTGAGCCTTTAGCCTGTGAGATCTGATGCTAAGTCCAGGTAGACAGCAGCAAATCTTAATTAAATTTTAGGACACCCACTTGGTGTCTGCAGAAAATTGGTGAATTGTTTGATGGGAGGAATAAAACACATATTTGAAATAAAGGTATTCTGTGAATAGAAAGAATATATAGGAGTTTTTTTCTAGACAATAATATTATAGAATAGTACAGAAATATGTATAATTTTCATAGGTAATGGTATTGAGTTTATGTAAGAGAATGTCCTATTTTTAGGAGATTTAAGTCAAAGATTTGGGGGGTCTGCTATGTATAAAGGATATATGCATATATACATTTGTGTATACATATTTCTGTATATATACACACATACATAGGAATAAAGAAAATGTGGCAAAATATAAAGAACTAACTCCAGGTAAAGGTTATAAAAGTTTTCAGTATGGTATTCTTTAAATTTTCTATGTTTACTATAAATTTTTTTTAAAGTTAGGAAAAATCAAAATATGGGAATATGAACATATTCAACCAACAAGCCATATATCCCCATATAGATACATCACTGACTTCAAAATATTATCTGTGGAATTCATTTTTTTCCTTAAGATAAAACTTAGGCAACAACATGTAAAAAGCTTTGTGGATTTTTTTTTTATGAGAAGTAACTTCTATTTAGAACAAAACAAAACATTTTGGTCAGGGATAAAATAGACAACTTTACCTGGAGAAGGATTTACCTGGAAAATCCAAAAGTATGTTGAATTCAATCTAAAATCCTGAAAATCACATAATTTCCAAGAAGCTAACACTTTTCAGCATAACACCCATTTACAAAGAAGTAAGTTTTCAACGTCTCCTGGTGAGTTTACCTCATCTGGTTGAGGGAGGACAATAACTGACATTGTTCCTGTGTGAATACGCTGCATCCTTGACGACAGGCCCACCTCAGGAATTCGCTGAACTCGGTGAATTCCACCTTCATACTTCAAATGCTTATAGACATTGTCACCAGAAATTCGGGCAGCTGCATGATGTAGCCCACCTAGGAAAAAATATCCAAAACTATTAATGAATTCTAATTTGAATGGGATAAAGATCTTAAGTGTTGTAATCTAAGGTCTGAACATGAAATAGAGACTGAGATGAGAACATAAAGTAGGTACAAAACTGTATTTTCCAAATGTAAATGGAGTAATACATAAAAGGAAACATAACAAAATATTATGTATGGTTATCCCTAGGGAACAGAATAACAGCAGATTTTTATTTTACTTTTTATGTTTCTAAATTTTCTATAATAAACAAGTTTTACTTTTATAAAAAGACTATAAGAAAAAAATACTAGGACATTTTCTGCTTGAACTACCCTATCCCATTCTGGGCTAATATGGTGCCATAAATAAAAGCATGCTTAATTATATAACACTTTGATAATGATGAACAACTGGATAGGTCCTACCAAGTTTTCAAGGATCTATTGAAATGTAGCTCTGGCTTATCTGTTGAGTGGGAAGATTATCACAAAAGGATGTTAATGCCTAGGCTAGCTTCTTATCAAATACATTTAAAAAAATATTTTTATTATGCAATAATATACAGACATAGATAGCCACATGAATTAAATGTATGGCTTAATGACTACAAGATCAAAAGAAAGAGCTTAGTCAGTCACTCTTAAAGCCCTCCTGTATACCTTTTCCCAGTTGCAATCTCTTCCCTTTCTCATGAGTAGTCATTATTCTGAGTTTTATTCCTTTTTTAAAAAATAATTGTATTACCTAAATGTGCTGCCCTAGGTATTAGTTTAGTGTTGTCCATTTAAAAAAGTTTGATTACATCTTTTAAATTCTTTTTTTTTTAATCCTTGCCCAAGGACATGCTTTTTGATTTTAGGGAGAGGGAAAGGGAGGGAGAAAGAGAAGAAAAACATGGATCATTTGCCCTCTCACACACCCCAACTATGGACAAACTGTAACCCTAGCATGCGCCCAACCGGGAATCGAACCCATGACCATTCAAATTGCAGGACAACACCCAACCAAGCCACACTGGCCAGGGCTGATTTCATCTTTTAAATCCCTTAATCTAAAGGTTCTTCGTCCATCTCTTTTGTTTCCTACAAATTATCTGTTGAGGAATCTGGACTGTTGACCTGTAGAATTTCCCACTCTGATATTGTTGACTGCATACTCTTGGCAAAATTCAACCTGTTCTGCTGCCTTCTGTATGGACTGTAATTAGGCAGCTATATCCAGAGACTGGATCAGACACTAGCTTGAGCTCCTTAGTAAGTCTGGTTGTCTCTCTTTTTATGGTCTTGATAGCCTTTGATACTTACTGTATCATGGGGTTGTAAAATGGTGATGGTCTAATTCTATCATTTCTGCTTTAATTAAAATGTATTTATAAAGAGACAGCTCCTCTTGCCTACTATTTATCCACTGATAGTTATATTGAAAAGGCAGGATTAATGCTTGATTCTGTTCATTTACCAGTTTTATTAACATACCAATACCTCCTTTTTTTTTTTTTGCAATATAATGAATTAAAGTCCTTTTTTGTTTTTCAAGATTTATTTATTTTTTAGAGAAAGAAGGGAGGGAGAAATAGAGAGAGGGAAACATCAATATGTGGTTGCCTTTCGCACGCCGCCTACTGGGGTCCTGGCCTGCCACCCAGGTATGTGCCCTCACTGGGAATTGAACCAGTGACCCTTTGATTTGCAGGCCAGCATTCAACCACTGAGCCATACCAGCCAGGGCTGAATTAAGGTCCTTTTAATACTTTGACCATTTTAAAAAATATCATTATGAACTCAAAGATTTGAACACATCCAGCATGTTTAAAATCAATTATTTATCATTGAAACTCTACTTTTCCCATCTTTTGCCAGTGGGAGCCTCTTCAAATTAACTTTTGTGTTCTTTAGACATGGCTCTTGCAATGGTATAACAAGATGTTCCATGAATATCTTGAATACTTCTTGACCCACCCTGGAATCAGCTATTTCTCCAAGAAGCCCTGGTTCCTTTCTAAGGGAAATAATATTTCAAGAACACAATTCACTGCTACTGGATTTGTCACTGTTTCTAGGTCTTTTCAGTGGACAGAGATAGGAAATACCTCATGAGTTCATACTGATGTTGGGAGACAATTCTCTATCAGTGTCTTCTGTTTCTGCACATCTTGCAAATGAGGCATTATCTGCCCTTTTGTTCCAGAAAATCTTTTCAAGGGTGTTTGCATAGTGAAAAGTTTTGGAGATAATGTCTCCCTCCAGAGAGGACAAATTTGCTGACAGCCTTGGAAGACAGAGTGTCAATAACAAAACATAATTATAAACATTAATCTTTTGGAGGGGAGGAGATAATGTAATACGTGCCATAGAATCCCTTTAACTTTAAAATATTTCAATTCATTAGATAGCAGGTATACAGAGTAACACAGTCAGATCTGCACCACATATCAAGAGTATCACCCTCCACTGCTTGTACCAAGACTCTCCAGGAATCATTTAGTTTGGTATATTTATGTAATGGTTGAGTATTATCCCTATTTGTACCAAAAGTGACAAACCTACAAGACTTCAAGTCACTCAATATATGAAGTTTTGCATGTAGATGTCTCTTCTCACACAGCTTATGTCTCTGTGTATATCTCTGTAGAATTCCTCTTTATGTAAATTAAGCAATAACTTTATATATATACACATATAAGTAATTTTATATATTTTAAAGGCAGGTACTTTGTTTCCCCTTTCTCTATTTTAGTCTTTTTCTATCCACATCATTTTCTTCTAATTACAATAAGTAAATTGATTTTTAAAAAATTATTTTACAATTTCAGCAAATAGAGCTTTATTCCTAGTCTTTAATTATCAAGGTATGAATAAAATATTAAAAATTTTTGTTTTTTAAAAATTTCATTTTACTTTTTAAAATATCTTTATTTTATTTTGTCAGTGAGTCAGTGTATCTAAAAGAAAGGTTCCTCACCCATTGTTTAGGCTGCTCTACAAACTTGCAATGCAATCTCCCTGTTGTTACATGCATCTCCCTTTCATTCTTGAAAGCTGGATTCAAAATATACATCTCAGAGGTTACTGATGACATTTCCCATTCTGTCTTTTATAATGCTGCTGTTTCTGATTACATTCTCCTTGAAACTCTCTCCTCTCTTACTTATATAATATTATGTCATCTTCATCCTTTTTCTGCTTATCTGACTCCTACTGTTCTTTTGTTAACTAGTCTATGTTTCTAAATGTGGACATTCTGCAAGGTTTGGTGCCCTGGATATTTGTTCTCTCTCTATGGACTTTCCCTTGCTTTTTCTTTCAGTATCAGACATTATCTCTGTGCTAACAGCTACAAATATATCCTCAATTCTGTTCTCTCACTAAAGCTCTGTTTATACAACTTTACAATTTACTAGATGTTTCTAAATAAATGATTAGTATAACCACAAACTTAATTCAAAAACCACTTATTCTTCTTCCCAAATGGGCTGGCTCTGCCTTTCAACTTCTATTCCATTCAGTAGCATATGAGTATCACAGTCTTGCTAGCTGGAAAGATTAGAATCCTTGTGGCTCATCTCCTTTGTATCAGAAGAGATTAGCCGGATATAGTGTGACTCTGGATCAGACAGACTTAAATTTAATCCCAGGATTGCCAATACATATTGTGGGATACTGGATTAATTACTTACTCTCTGAGCCTAGATCTTCATCTGTAAAATGTAATTAATAATATCTCTCTCACAAGATACATCAAACAACCTACACTGCATAGAGGACATAGTGGGCAAGCAATACCCCTTCTTGTATCCAATCAGTTACCAAATTTTCCCGGTTCTTCCCTTGAAGGTATCTCACATGTCTCCCTACTCCAAGTTCTAACTCTTAGTCATAGCTTGACTATGCTACTAACCACTCTGCAGTCTGCTTTAAATATAACATATAAAATCCATTCTTTAATTTTTTTATTATAAAAGTAAAAGAGGGCAACATAAAACTAGTGGATGTTTGACATTGTATTTGAGAAACTAGCGCATCAATATCTGATTTGATAGAAGTATTTTACTCTTTTTTTTTTAAGTTGTTTTTAAAGATTTATTTATTTATTTTTAAAGGAAGGGGAAGGGAGGAAGAGAGGGAGAGATCATGTGGTTGCCTCTTACACACTCTCAACTGCGGGCCTGATCTGCAACACAGGCGTGTGCCCTGACTGGGAATCGAACCGGTGACCTTTTGGTTTGCAGGTTGACAATCCACTGAGCCACATTAGCCAGGGCTCTCAATCCATTCTTTGTGTCAAAATAATCTTTTTTTTCCTTACACCTCACCTGAGGACATGCTTATTAATTTTAGAGCGGAAGGGAAGGAGGAAGGGAGAGAAACACTGATGTGAAAAAAAGACATCAATTGGCTGCCTTTCATAAGCACCCCAACTAGGGATGAATCCATAATCCAGGTATGTTCCCTGATCAGAATAGAACTATTGGCCACCTTTTGATTTCTGGGAGAACACCCAACCAACTGAGCCACACTGGCTGGAACCAAAATCTTCTTAAAATGTGTATTTATCAAGTAAAATTCTTTTAATAAAATCTTCAACAGCTTTCTTTCTCTTTTTTTTAAAGATTTTATTTTATTTTATTTTTAGAGAGAGGGGTAGGGCAAGGAGAAAGAGAGGGAGAGAAACATCAATGTGTGGTTGCCTCTTGTGTGCCCCCAACCAGGGACCGAGCCTGCAACCCAGGCACGTGCCCTGACTGGGAATCAAACTGGTGACCTTTTGCTTCACAGTCTAGCACTCAATCCACTGAGCTACACCAGTCAGGGCTTCAACAGCTTTCTATTGGCTAACAATCAAGGCCTATTCGGCTTTCAAAGATGTTCAAATCTATTTCCTATTACTTCCCATCACAAATACATCCGGAGTAGTTGGCTTCCTCACTGTTCCACTCACACACCAAGATCTTTCCCACCACCATGCTATAGCTCAGGTTGTCTATTCCCTCTGCTCTCACTAGCTGTATTTAAACTCTATACCAAAGATGATGGCATAGGTAAACATGGTCCACCTTCTTGCACAACCACATCAAAATTACAACTATAGAACAACCATTACTGAGCACCAAAAGAAATCAAGTTGAATGGAAATCTGACATCTATGGAATTAAAGAAACCATATCTATCCAAACTGCTTGGTAGAGGCAGAAAGGTCTGGTCTCAAATCCACGTGTGATGGATAAAAATTCAGGAGGGCTATCTAGAAGCGAGGGGTCCCAGCCCCACACCAGGCCACCCCCAGCACAGGGTTTCAGTGCCAGAAAGATTAGTCAGAGCAACTCTATCTAATACACAAAAACAAACATGGGGAGGTTGCCAAAACAAGGAGACAAAGAAACATGACCCAAATGAAAGAACAGATGCAAACTCCAGAAAAAGAGCTAAATGAAATGGAGACAAGCAATCTATCAGATGCAGGGCTCCAAACACTGGTTATAAGGGTGCTCAAGGAACTTAGTGAGGACCTCAAAAGCATAAAAAAGATTCAATCAGAAACAAAGGATACACTAATTGCAATAAAGAACAATTTACAGGGAAACAATAGTACAGTGGATGGAGTCAAGAATCCAATCAATGATTTGGAACATAAGGGAGCAAAACACAACCAATCAGAACAAGAATGAAAAAATTAAAAAATCAAGGACAGTGTTAGCAGCCTCTGGGACAACTTCAAACATTCCAACATTCACATCAAGGGTGCAAGGAGGAGAAGAGAAAGGGCAAGAAATTGGAAATCTATTTGAAAAAATAGTGAAGGAAAACTTCCCTATTTTGGTGAAGGAAATAGACATGCAAGTCCACAAGTAAACACAGAGACACCCAAACAAGATGAATGCAAAGAGGCCCACTATAAGACACATCATAACAAATGCTAAAGGTTAAAGATAAAGCAGGGACCTACAGCCAAGATTGCTCCACCCAGCGAGGATACCATTTAGAATGGAACGGCACAAAAAGAGCTTCCTAAACAAGAAAAACTAAAGGAGCTCATGACCACCAAACTATTACTATATGAAATGTTAAAGAGACTTATTTAAAAAACAGAAGATCAAAACTAGAAACAATAAAATGGTAATAAATACATACCTATGAACAGCTGTATAAATAAATAACAAACTAAGCAAACAAGGAGAACAGAGACTGAATCATGGATACAGAGAGCATTTTGATGGCTGCCAGATGGGAGGGGATTGTGGGGGAACAAGTGAAGAGATAAGGGGATTGATAAGTGCATATAGGTACTTACAGAATAGCCTTGGGGATATAAAGTACAATATGGGAAATGGAGTAGTCAAAGAACTTCTAAGCATGAACTAGGGACATGAACAATGGTGTGGAGACTGCCTGAGGGAGTGGGGGATGCACGGTGGAAGGGAGCAAAGAGAAAAACTGGGACAAGTGTAATGGTATAATAAAATATAATTTAAAAAATAAAAATAAAATAAAACCTATACCAAGCACAACATGCTGTATACTGGTTTTCATTTCCCTAGATTATTTAACTTGCATTAATCTACTTTCTCCACTCTGATAGTTTGTGGTTTATTATTCATAATCCTGTCTACTATAGTGTATCATTGTGTAACCAAGCAGAAAACTACTTCCAGAGAGATTAAAAGCATGGGAAAAATAATTATTATCAGAAGGTATGATTTAACATAGTTAACATACTTTCGAGTTTAAAGACTTGCATTGTTTGTTATTGTTTATGTTGTATTAAGTTCTTATCAGCTCAACTAAATTGAAACTTTTTGAAAATAAAATTAACTTTCTCTACATTCCCATAAAAATTAGATAAATCATGAGTCACTTAGTCTGATAAATCTTCTTATTAGATAAAGTTCTTTTGAGTAAAAACCTTACTATATCTCTGAACAACAAAGCAATGCTTTCCAGGCAAGGTACATACCTATCCTTCATAGGGAAATTTTCTCTTACTTAGATATTCCTTCCTATGAGGATATCTCCCTCCCTCCCACTCTTTTTTTTTCTTCCTCAAATGTAGTCCCCTATTCAATCTGGGCTGCCACAAAGACAGAAAGCACAGAGATTTTTTTCTTTCGCATCCTAGTGCAAACCAAAAGAACAGAGTTAGATTGTTCAAGGTCTATCAGTGGATGCAATCCCTCCCACTCTTTTCTCCCAGTTAAAAACTCTACTATAGTAAGCCACTGTGACTGATGAACCTCTGTCACAGTATTTAGCAGATAGAGATCAAATGTTTTAAAGATATGGGACAGCCCTGGCTGGGTAGCTCAGTTGGTTAGAGTGTCATCCCACTATGCCAAGGTTGAGGGTCCTATATTTGGTCAGAGCACATACAAGAAACAACCAAAGAGTGCATGAATGAATGGAATAGAAGTTTATGTTTCTCTCTTCTCTCCTCTTCCCTCTTTTTTCCTCTCTTTCCCTTTTCCTCTCCCAAAATCAATACAGAATTTTTTATTGTCAGTAAAAAACTTCATTTATTTTTTTTAAAGATTTTATTTATTTTTCGAGGGGGAAGGAAGGGAGATAGAGAGAAAGAGAGAAACATCAATGTGCGGTTGCTGGGGGTTATAGCCTGCAACCCAGGCATGTACCCTGGCTGGGAATCGAACCTACGACACTTTGGTTCGCAGCCCACACTCAATCCACTGAGCTACACCAGCCAGGGCTAAAAAATTTTTTAAACAATAAAATTGAAATTAGAATATAGGACAACATGAATATAATCAACTTAGAGGAAAAAGAATTTCCGGCACTATCTATGGACCAATCCTCAAATACACTTACCATAATCAGCAGGTGTATAATTCAGAAGTTCAAATGTCCAGTGTTTATACCCTGAGTAATTCTGGTACATGTCAAATATTTCACGGGTAAATTGTTGACAAATATCACCTAAAACAAAATACAAAAAATATTCAGTCAGCACTTATTTCCAAGAGAACCAGTCTTAATTAGACCCCTTAGGAAATTGGTAACTACTTCAAAAGTGAAACGTTTAAAGTTGTAGTATGTCTAATCAAAGTAAAATTTAGATTATTGCGTGGATTATTTATAAGAAAATTACTTTACTGACCTCCAGTAGTTCTTCCAGATGTCACCTCTAAAATAACATCATTTTTGTCATATTTCTCCTTTGGCACTAGATTCTGGACAAGCTAAAAAATGGAAAAAACTGTAAGCTTTAGTATGTATATATTCCATGGTATATATACTATACATATACACTATTATTACTTGAACTTAGATAAAAGACCCCCAAATATTAAAAAATATTCAGTAATTAACAAAAATCACATAGCACCCCAGTGAAGTCAACTCCTAAAATGCTTTAATAAGTAGACCTAATTAGACCTAAAATAAGTGATCAATTCATGTTAACAATGAAGTTACTTGTCAGGATGTTCTCCACAATGCTATCAGATTATCTTAATTTTCTAAAATACAGAAATTTAGATCAAAGTCCAGTGTCCCACTCAATTTTCTTCAGATTTTGCCTGTTATTAGTTCTGAACAGTAGCTTCTTTCATCTAATGAATGAAGTAAAGCTTTGAGAGTCTTCTTTCTACATGATTGCATATTCTCTTCTGCCATAAAATGACAGCAAAACACCAGGCTGTGTCCCGACTTCTCAGTAGTTACTTTGTTTAAAGAGTAGGTTGAGGAATCCCAAGATGAGGCTCAAATAGTTTCTTAACTATGAAAAGAAAAAGGGGCATCCTAATAAAGTAACCAACTTTCCTCTTATTTGTATTATTACTAAGAGGTCTTTCAAATCAAACTAAAAGCACGTATGTGTCATGATACTCCCTACTGTTGATTTTTGAAATACATACTCCATCTCTGCTAGAAATGGAAGAGATTATTACAGAATATATTAGAGTGACACATCTTTGATTTGCTGGTTAAATCAGTGACAAAAATAACCAGTACCTCTACCTCATCCCCTTCAACTCCTAAAAAACTTCCTCTATTGGATTCCCAGAGTGGGGAAGACTGAAGTCAGGAAAATGGCAAATATGACAGAGGGGAGCATGGTATACAGTTCTGTGATTTCAGACAAATCATCCACTGCGCTGGAAGATGCTACAACAAATACTTGTGTTAACCAACTGTCTCTATACCCTTGTATTCATTCCATTCTATCCAGAATGCAAATTTTCAACCCTTAACACAATCACCATGAACCACACCCCCTTTCTAAGACTTAAAAACCCTTATGTTCCCCATTGGCAAACTAAATTTGTTTATGAGCATGTGTTCCTTTGCCAGGCAATAGATTTAATTTTAGAATATTGTTGCTAGGGTGTGGGGGAGTGTTTTACTTTTTGATACGTATCACAATCTCTTCAATAGCAAATTACAGCACTACACCCCACCTAATCACTTATGGTAAGAGAAGACTTAACAAACTGGTGTTTGGAAAGCACTCTGAGCACCAACACATAATCTAGCAAGAACACTATTCCTTTGTATTAACACTACGTACGAAGATTAGTTTACCTCCTAAAACATACCTCACTGTATAACACGTTGATTTTTTGAGCAATGGTTTCCCTCTCTTCCAATGCAAGTTCTTGTAACTGCTTTTCATCTTGTTTATTTAAACCTAAAAACCAGCAACAGTAATAATGGTAAAAGTTTTTAAATACAGGGAGTCTCTTAAATAGCTACCTAATATCTGACTACTGAGCTTTATTTCAGTTGTGAAGGTAAGGGATTATATAAAAGAAGTTAGAATAGTTAAGAGAATATCAAGCATTTGTAAAGTATTTCCCCCAAAAAACCCAGTATGAAAAGCATGATCTTGACCAAAAGCTTGTGATTTGAATGTTTGTAAGTAATTATAAAAATTAGTAGTTAATCAAACAAGTTTAAAAAGGGACTAATTAAATATAAACGCAAAAAACATCAGTTTTGGAGTAAATTGGGGTGGCCACTTCTCGTCTAAAGTTGGCAACTATTACCCAGCACACTGTGAATAATCTAGCATGGCTAAAGCCAACATTTTTGTAGAGTAAAGGTAGCTAGTATCAGTATTATTATAGAATAGCAGAACTGTAAACCTAGAAGAGAGTTTAGGAACAATCTAATCCAATCTGATCTTACACATGATACAACCAAAGCTGAAAGAAGTTATTCCAATTCAATTTAGAAAGCATTCAGTAAGCTCCTATTATGTGTGAGGAACTTCCCCAAAATCAATTAATTATAAACTTGAGTAGCATTATGCAAAAAGTAAAAAATAAATCTCATCGAATGTGGGTGAGATATCTGTGGTGCCACCCATAGAAAACAGGAAAATATAAGGCTTTGAACACGCAGGACTTCACAGGTGTAATTATGACTAGCCTTGACGTTGCTTAACATTTCTAAGGCTTAATTAAACAGGACACAGAAGAAAGTTTAGTAACTAAAACCCAAGAGCAAAATCTGGATAAATGTTGAATCCTAGGTTAGTCCATTATGCAAAATTAATATGCATTTTGCATCATATACAAAATTAATTCGCATTTTGCATCATATACAAAATTAATTCAAGTGTAAGGACTAAAAATATAAAGCTCTTGAAAGAAAACAAGACACAAACCTTTGTGACCTTAGATTATATAGTAGTTCCTTAGATATTACACTGATAACACAAGCAACAAAAGAATAAAAAGATAAATCAACATCAAAATTTTAAAAGACAATGTTTCAAAGAACAATCCACAGAGTAAGAGAAAAATTTCTGCAAATCATATATCGATAAAGAATTTATGTCTAATATATAAAGAGCTCCTACAAATCAATAATAAAAGATATAACTCAATGGGCAAAGGATCTGAACAGTGATTTATCCAAAGATGATAAGGCAATTGGGCACACAAAAAGATGCTCAATATCATTAATGAGGCAAGGAAAATCAATTCAAAGTCATGAGTCACCCAGTAGGATCAGTAGAATCAAAGGGGAAGATAACAAGGATCGGCAAGGATGTGGAGAAATTAGAACCATCACACAGAGGTAGAATGAAAATGGTGCAGCCACTTTGGAAAACAGTCAGACAGTTCTGCACAAGGTTAAACATGGAGTTATACAACTCAGCAATCTATGGCCATACAAAAACTTGTACACAAATGTTCACTGCAGCATTGTTCATAATAATCAAAAAGTGAAAGCAACTCAATATCCATCAAGTGATAAATAAATCAAATGAAATGTGGTATACCTATACCATGAAATATAATTCAGCAATAAAAAAAAATTGACATATGTACCCTGGCTGGTGTGGTTCAGTGGATTGAGTGCTGGCCTGCAAACCAAAGGGTTGCTGGTTCGATTTGTGGCACATGCCTGGGTTGTTGGCCAGATCCCTAGTAGGGGGCATGTGAAAGGCAACCACACATTCCCTCTCTCTCCCTTTTCTCTAAAAATAAATAAACAAAATCTTTAAAAAATACATTTAAAAAGAAGTATGGATATAGGCTACAACAGAAATGAACCTTTAGAGTATTATGCTAAGTGGAAAAAAAGCTAGGCACAGCCGGGGAGCTCAGTTGGTTAGAATATTGTCCTGCTATGCCAAGATGTGGGTTCAATCCCTTGCTCAGAGAACATATAAGAAGCAACCAAAGAATGCAAAATAAGAGGAAAAACAGTTTTTTTTCTCTCTCCCCTCCTCTCTTTTTCTTTACAATCAATACATTTTTTAAAAAGCCAGTCACAAAGGACAACATACTATATGATTGCATTTACATAAAATGCCTGAAGTAAGTAAATCTACAGAGACAGAAAGTAGAGTAGGGGTTGCCCAGGCCTGGTAGGGAAGGGAGGGACTGGGATGAGATAGCTGGAGGGTGATGAAATACCTAGACCATATAAGCCCTTTAAGGGGGTAGGAACTGTATTTTTGAGTTCCTGGTATGTAGCACTGTAGGAGAGTACTCAGTAAAGGCCTATGCAAGAAATTAAAGCTTCTGAAAAGGTCAGTAGCCATCTCCCAAACCCTAAAAACTTGCTGGCAAGAACCACAAGGAGTTCAGTTTCTCAGCTACTAAATAACAACTACTAAAATACTTCAAATATCCAGAGCACAGAGTCCTGTCTTTTCCAAGTGTAGAGCTTATTACTTGTAGGCTTTTTAACTGAGTTCAATAAAAGTTTAACTTAGAAAATTGATCCTGTACTTCAATACACACATATCTTTTACTTACTTTTACACATTGATTCTAATTCTTCAATTGCTTGTTCAGCCTTCTGAATCTCTTGGTAAATGGTTGCAAGTGAGGCCAACTCATTATGTCTTTGATTCAAGGACCTTTGGTCCCCTTGATTCACAGAGATATGCTGCAAACACTGGTCAAGTGCTTGGTACTCTTTATTCAGGTCCTCCATATATTTCTGTAGTGCTTTATGCTTCCAGAGCATCCTGGTGTCTTGATGACAATATCTCCTGGAGCAATTCTTATTTAACAGGTGGAGAATGTGATTCCAGTTTTGTCTAAAACCCCACAGCTGTGTATCAAGATGTATCCGTGTAGACTGATGAAAAAGGGGGTGGATATGGTATTGGCAGTGACCATAAAGGGACAGATGTCTAAAAAGCCAAACACAGAGGTGACGATTCATCTCAGCATCTGAAATATAATAAATAAACATATTCTGGAAAAAAATCAACTCTACAGATACAATAAAGCTGGAAGGAGCCTTAGAAATCTTGCTTAGTTCACTGTCTCAGCAAGCTCCAAATAATGGTCCCCAAATTCCATAACTCATAAAAAGAAAATAATTCTTCCAACTTCTGAAAAGAATGTGTTAAAATAAATGAAGAAAGCACTGCTTTTTTACCCACTCAACATACATAATTAACTAAGAGGAATGAGTAGGAGTACAACCAATAAATATATCGATAGACTGGGTTAAATCAGCTATTTTCTAGAAAGTATCCAGAATCTAGAATAGAGACTGTGAACAAGCACTTGAAAGGTATAAAATAATCATGTAAACTTTAGCTGGTTCCTATATTCATACATTTCTAAAGTATGATGTAAATAATTGTTTCCTTGATCAATTCTTTAGTTTTAGATATCCAAATGTCCAAGGAAGCTAAGTAACTTTATCATGATTATTCACCTCAGCCAGGGAGACAGAACTGATTCTAGAACTCAGGTTCCCAATTCAGAGCTCAGGGTTCTTTTCCTTCCTTTTTAAAAAAATCCTCACCCGAAGACATGCTTATTAATTTTGGAGTGAGAAGGTGAGAAGATGGCAGGGGCGGGGTGGGGGAAGGAGAGAGAGAGAGAAATATTGATCAGCTGTCTCTTGTAAGTGCCCCAACTGGGGACCAAACCCACGACCTAGGCATGTGCTATGACCAGGAATCGAACCCATGACCTTTCAGTTTATGGGACACGGGACACCACTGAACAAACTGAGCCACACTGACCAGGGTGAAAGCTTAGTGCTTTTTATTTTCAATTCCACAATCACTCTTCAAAGATACTTCCCTTTTAGTTGAAATCCTGAATGAAGAAATTTTCAAATATTAACAAACCAAGAAAGTAGAAGGTCTGAGCTTCTAGTCAAGATGGTGGCAGCATAGGCAGACATGGCTCATTTCTTGAGGCAACCACATCAAAATTACAAGTGAAATACAGAACCACCATCACTCAGGAACGTCAGAAATCAAGGTGAAGGATGCCTGACAACTACAGAATTAAAGAAACCACATCCATTCAAACTGGTAGGAGGGGCACAGATGTAGAATGGGCTGGCCCCACACCACATGGATAAATATTTGGGAAAGATATCTTGGGAGTGAGGAATCTCAGACCCACACCAGCTGCCCCGCCCCCACCGCCCCCCCCCTCAGTCCAGGATTCCAGTGCCAGGAAGATTAAGTCCCCACAACTTCTGGATGTGAAAACCAGTGAGGACTGACTTGGTGAAGGAGGCCGCTGGAGTCGTATGTAAGTGGTTCCTCTTGGGAAACCCACATATGTACTCACCTACTCAGACTTGCTCCCTCTGAGCTCCAGCACCAGGGTGGCAGCTTGAACGGCACTAATGGTACACAGGGAGAGACTGACGTGTCTGGCATTGGGGCAAGCAGAGGCCATTGTCCCTTGGCTGAGCCCTCCCCTCAACAGAGCCTGTAGATTGGTGCCATATCTTGAGACTCCATCAACCCGGCTAACTGTGTGACCCACCCTGGAGATCCACAGAGGCTCTACCCCACTTAATTTATGGGCCCACCCAAGCTTCTTTTCCATAACAATGGCTGGTCTTGGCTCCTAAATCCTATCAAACCATCAAGCAACAGCTGGCTTCAGTGAGCCCTAGGGCAGGCTGATTACAGTTATAGCTTGGATTCACCTACGAATCTACAAGCCCAGCACAGGTAGCAGCCATCTCAGATTGCTTTACAGCTCAGGCAGGGTGCCCTGGGGCAAAACGCAGGTGGAGGCTGACTTTGGCCTGCACCATCCTGGAAACCTCAGGGACCCAAAGGAGAACCACTGTACTGCCCCTGTACAGCTGATCTTCCACCGAGGGTGGAGGCTGGGAGTCAGTGGTCATAGCCTGACCTTGCAGCTGACTGGCCTTGGTAAATCCCTCCCACTGATCTGCCAACAGCAATCAAGGCTCAACTACAAGAGGATGTACTCAGCCCACACCAACGGCACACCTGGAGTACCCAGCTTGGATCATAGGGAGGCTGTGCCACTGAACCCTACTTGAAACCTATTACATTAGGCCACACTACCAAGACACGGAGTCAAAGCAGCTCTACCTAATACACAGAAACAAATACAGGGAGGCTGCCAAAATGAGGAGACAAAGAAACATGGCCCAAATGAAAGAACAGATCAAAACTCCAGAAAAAAAGCTAAGTGAAATGGAGGTAAGCAATCTGTCATACTGAGTTCAAAACAATGTTTATAAGGATGCTCAAGGAACTTAGTAAGGGCCTCAACAGCATAAAAAAGACCCAGTCAGAAACATTGGATACACTAATTAAAATAAAAAAACAATTTACAGGGAAACAACAGTAGAATTAAGCCAAGAATCACATTAATGATTTGGAACATAAGGGAGCAAAAACAATCATGCAGAAGAAGAAGAAGAAAAAACAACCCCCCAAAATGAAGATAGTGTAAACAGTCTCTGGGACAACATTCACCTCACGGGGTGCCAAAAAGAAAAAAGAAAGAGCAAGAAATTGGAAATCTATCTGAAAAAATAGTGAAAGAAAACTTCGCTGATTTGGTGAAGGAAATAAACATGCAGATCCAGGAAGTACAGAGAGTCCCAATTTTGATGGATGCAAAGAGGCCCACTCCAAGACACATCATTATTAAAAGGCCAAAGTTAAAGATAAACAGAGAACTCTTAAAAGCAAGAGAAAAGAAGTTAGTTACCAGAAGGTTACCAAGTGGGAGAGAATGGGTGAAGAAGAGATGAGGGGATTAAGAAGTACAAATAGGTAGTTACAGAATAGCCATGGGGATATAAAGTACGGTATAGGAAATGGAGTAGCCAAAGAACTTATACAAATCATCAATGGACATGAACAATGGTAGAGGGACTGCGTGAGGGAGTAGCGAGTACAGGGTGGAGGGGAGCGAAGGCAGAAAAATAAGGACAACTATAATAGCATAATCAATAAAATATAATTTAAGAAAAAGAAAGTAGAAGGTATGGTAATAAAGGGCAATGGTGATAATTACAGTTGACCCTTAAATAATACAGGTATGAACTACACAGGCCACCTACATTTTGAATTTTTCAAATAAATATTATAACCAGCCCTCTGTGTCCCCTGATCTCACTTCCATCGATTAAACCAACTGCAGCTGAAAACAGTATTTTCAATCAATTGTTGGGAATCTGTGAAGGCAAATGGCCAACTACATGCATTGTTCTATACCATTTTATATCAATGACTGAGCATCTGGGATGTTGGTATTTGTGGGGATCCGAGAAGCAATCTAACAAGTATAATCAGGGTGACTAATTAAGTTTTTGGAGAGTTAAAAGTTATATGCAGATTTTTTGACTAAGAGGGTTGTTGCCCCTACCCCCTGCATTGGTCAAGGATCAACTTGTTTTCAAAATTTTTCCAAATTATATGATATAAATGTGAAAAAGGTACAGAATTTTTTAAAAAGAAAACTAAAAAGTAAATATATCGAAATGTTAAGATGATTCCTAATTGTGGAATTATGGATTACCACTTGTTTGCTTTCTATTTTTTTCTACTTTTTAGTGTTTTCAAGTCTTCTCTACTTATAGCATGTATTAGTTTTACAATCAAGAAAAAAAACTTACTTAAAAAATTACAGGTTAGGTGAAACTGGCTGTGTACAATAATTATTTGTCCTCTCCTCTAACAGATAATCAAGAGCTAACAAAAGTACACTGTAGTTTTATTAAGAAAGTTCTAAGAATAACATTTTGCCCCTAAAATTCTGTGGTTCAAAGTTGAAATAAAGGTCAAAATGTATCAAAATCAACCTCTCTGGTGTTCCTATGCTAGGAGATGCATTCATATATTAGCTCAATTGATCACTATAAGTCTACTAACTTATATATCATTATATTATCACCTAGGAAATAAAACATTGAGAATTGTCTCTAAAATATTCGAAGTTTGCAGGGTTCTACTAATGAACTTTAACGTACTGAATCACATGCAGAAAAGGACTGTGGAAGAACACATCTATGCCTAGTACTACAAATGTTACAGTTCTCCAGCAGAAGTTTCTGTGTCTTTACATCGAGTCTCAAGCACATAAGAGGTGTGTCCATTTACAAAGGGACAGAATAAAAGTATAGTAAACATTTTTGTTAGCACACTTCTAGCTAAAATTTCCATTTTCCGAACAGTAGTACAATGAATAATTCTCAAGGTCATGAATCTCAACTGTTAAGGGGGAAAAAAACCCAAGACGTTTACTCTCTAGAACTACACCTCAGAACAGCAAGTTTTCTCCACCACCCACCAGTTAACAGGATTACTCTGATAACTCTTATAACAATTCTCGGCGTCGGTTTAACAGACGTGACAATAACCCTGGGCGAGACCGGTAAGTGTAAGCCATACTGTGTGATTCGGTATAGGGAGCAATCCCATAAGGAAGGAACATGGAAAATAAACTGGAGAAAGAAAAAAGACTTTTTATGATCATAAAGGAGAAACGACTTGTGAGTACCTACAATGAAAAAGAAGTCAGCTTTCCTTACTCAGGCCGAACCTTCTCTAACTCGCTACAGTACAGCCGGAGAGGCACGGAACCACTTTCACTTCCTGGATCACTTCTTCCGGGTTAGCACTTGATTTCCCGGCTCCACCTCTGTCTGGACACCTCTCCGGAGTAGTACTTGGGCTTGCGTTAGAACAATGAGGTAACAGAGGAGACAAAAGAGGAAAATGACAGCGACAAAGAAAAAAAATAACAAAGCCAGAAAAGTTCCCCTGAAGCAACCATGAGGCGTACTCCCCCAGAACAGGAGGTCAGGGCGTGGGTTGCGTTTTGACGGGCGCCAGAGGGGGCGTGGAGGGGCGGGGGTTCGAGGTAGTGGGCTAGGAGAGCAGAAATTACGGGAAGTCCCAGTATCGTCCGCCCAGGAATCCTGGGAGTTGTAGTTTATTTCCTGACAGCCCCCCGCTCCCATCCTTTGGGCCAAAGGTGGAGGTTTGGTTTTCAGGTTCAGGCAAACCCATGAGAGAGATTTTCTACAGTTTATTTCTTATTTTTTTCTTAAATGTCAGAGTTCTCAGTCAGACTTGAAAACACTTTAAAACAAGTCCTTGGCAACTTCCAAATTATTCTTGGTGACCTTGCTATCCCTCTGGCCATAATCTTGGGACCAGAAGGGTATATAATCTACAGTTCTGATGAAGAGATCAAGATTTACAATATACAGATGTAGAGTTACAAGAATTTCCTTATATATGGAACCAGTAAAGTAGTGATTTCTTAATTTCTTTTATGAGGATCCCCCTTTTCAGCATTCAAAAATTTAGGGGATTCTGCATGTTAATAGCTGTACTTTCAGCTTCCATTGCCTGAAAAAATACCTAATGACTAAATGAGTGTATAAATTTGTATTTTTAAAAATCATAATGGGATCCAAAGTATAAACTATATAAATACCCACACATTAGTGATTTAAAGATGCTGCATGCACATACAGAATTTAGGGGCTCAACTTAGGTTCATAGCTTGTAAATAACCAATTAAGTAAGGAATTTAAAAATTCAAATAATTCCAGGGGAATGCAAACATATTACCTTACTTTAAATATTCCAATGGCAGACCACCTTTAGCAACCACATTTACAAGTCATCTGACCTGTGTGCCTCAATATTTCTTCCTAATAAGCAGAGGCAAAAAGAATCCCATATTACCAACTTCCCAGAATATTTTCATAGGGTATGACTGTACATACAAGAAGGAGAATTGGCCATAAAAATGAATATCTTTATTACCTACTTAAAATTATCTACTTCTATCTACTCGTTGCATACTATTCTACATAATTTAAACCTATTAATTCATGTGATCCTTACAATAACCTTAGAATACCCATTTTTCATAAGTGAAAACTAAGGTACAGAGACCATTAGTAACAACTTTCCCAAGGTAAAAAAACTAGTAGTAAGTGATAGAGCAGACTTTCAATCAAGGTAATCGATTTGTCTTAATGATCTGTGACTCCTAAGCTCCCTTCTCAAAAAAAAAAAAAGGAAAAGGCCCTGGCTGGTGTGGCTCAGTGGATTGAGTGCCAGCCTGCGAACCAAAGGGTCGGGTTTGATTCCCAGTCAGGGCACACACCTGGATTACACCACGTATCCACTGGGGAGGTGCACGGGAGGCAACCAATCAATACTTCTGACCTTTTCTTTCTCCCTCCCTTTCTCTTGAAACATAAATAAGTAAAATCTTTTTTGGTTATTTTTTAAAGATTTTATTTATTTATTTTTACAGAGGGGAAGGGAGGGAGAAAGAGAGGGAGAGAAACATCAACATGCATGTACCCTGACTGGGAATCGAACCTGCTACACTTTGGTTCGTTGCCTCTCGTGTGCCCCCTACTGGGGACCTCACCTGAAACCCAGGCATGTGCCCGACTGGGAATTGAACCTACAACCCTTTTGTTTGCAGGCCAGCACTCAATCCACTGAGCCACACCAAGACAGGATGGTTAAATAAAACCTTTTTTTTCCCTTTTTTTTTAAAGATTTTATTTATTTATTTTTAGAGAGGGAAGGGAGGGAGAAAGAGAGAGAGAGAAACATCAATGTGCGGTTGCTGGGGGTCATGGCCTGCAACCCAGGCATGTACCCTGACTGGGAATCGAACCTGCTACACTTTTGGTTCGCAGCCTGCACTCAATCCACTGAGGTACGCCAGCCAGGAAATAAAACCTTTTTAACAAAAAGAAAGAAAATATTCAGAAAATATTGAACACCAGTTATGTGCTCATTACTATTCTAGACATGAGAATTTAGCAATGAGTAGAAAAGACAAAAATCTTTGTCCACATGGCACTCATGTTCCAATAGGAAACAAATTCCAAAAGACTGTACAAGTCATTCTCCGAAATTACACAACAAAACCCTTTATTTCTTTATTTTGATGTATGTAGATATACAAACTATTGTATATAAAACTTTATTCTCCTTACTGCTATGGACTGAACTGTGACCTACCCCCACCCCACCTCCAAATTCAATATATTGAAACTAACTTCATTGTGACTGTACTGGATATAGGGCTTTTAAGGAGGTGACTAAGGTTAAATGAGGTCATAAAGGTGGACCCCTGATCTGATAGGATTAATACGCTTATAAGAAGAGACACAAGAGCTTTTTTGATCAGTCTCTGTTCTCTCCCCAACCCCAGCCAAACACAAACAGGTCATGTAAACACACAGCAAGATGTCAACTAACTACAGACTAAGAGAAGAGGCTTCAGAATGAAAGCCTCTATACCTTGCCAGCCCTGGCTGGTATAGCTCAGTGTATTGAGTGCTGCTGTGAACTGAAAGGTCGCTGGTTCAATCCCTTTTCAGGGCACATGCCTGGGTTGTGGGCAGGTCCCAGTTTGGGGGTGTGCAAGAGGCAACTGATTGATGTTTCTGTCACACATCAATGTTTCTCTCCCTCTCTTTCTCCTTCCTTTCTCCTCTCTGAAAATAAATAAATAAAATCTTAAAAAAAAGAAAGAAAGAAACATACATTGTCAGCACCTTGATCTTGGATTTTCTAGCCTCCCAAACTGTGAGAAATAAATTTCTGTTGTTTGAGCTACCCAATATATGATATTTTGTTATGGCAGCCCAAGAAAACTAAAACACATATATAAAAATGTATTGAGATAATGAAACTTTATGAACTGTATGTTATTCCTTAATTTTAAAAAATCCCTTAAGACATTTATGTTTGGTACTATAAATACTGCTTCCTCCTCCATGTTTTAAGAAAGAAACTAATGTGATATATTTATTAATATGCAAAGATAGCCACAACATATTAAGTGAAAGAGGATGTTAAAAAACTCAGCAAACTATTCCATTTTAAAAGCCGTATGTAATGCATATATATTTAAAAGTCTGGTTGAATTATAGGTAATATTTATTTTTCTCCTTATAGTATTCTGGATTTCCTGAAGTTTTGTAATGAGTATTATTGTGAACAAGAAAGCTATAAAAGAAAATTTATGGTTTGAAAAAGACTTATGAAAGTTATTATTGAATCACTTTATGAAGTTAAATAACTTATTCTAGCTCTTTTTGCCTCATCTACTACTGCAAGGATGAAGACCACCCTCAGCAATCAGACTGTCAACATTCCAGGAAATGTTGACGTCACTCTGAAGGGATGCACAGTTATTGTGAAGGGCCCCGGAGGCACCCTGCAGGACTTCAATTATATCAGTGTAGAACTGAGTCTCCTAGGAAAGAAAAAGAAGAGGTTCTGGGATGACAAATGGTGGGGAAATAGAAAGGAACTGGTTGCTATTCAAACTATCTGCAGTCATGCACAGAACATGATCAATGGTGTTACACTGGGCTTCTGTTACAAGATGAGGTCTGTGAACACTCACTTCCCCACCAATGTTGTTCTTCAGGAGAATGGTTCCCTTGTTGAAATCAGAGATTTCCTGAGTGAAAAAATACATCTGCAGGGTTTGGATGAGGCCAGGCATTGCTAGTTCAGTATCTCAAGCCCAGAAAGATCAGTTGATTCCTCAAGGAAATGACAATGAACTTGTATCAAATTGAGCTGTTTTGATTGGACAAGCCACAGCAGTTAAAAACAGGATAGCAGAAAATTTTTGGATGTTATCTATGTATCTGAAAAAGAAATAGTGCAGCAGGCTGATAAATAAGATCTAAGTTGTCCAGCTATAGAAACATTAAGATGCCAACTGGTTCCTCATATATATCTTTATTTTTTTATCCTCAGCCAAGGACATGCTTATTGATTTTGGAGGGCAAGGGAGGGAGAAAGAAGGAAAAGAAACATTGACATGAGAGGAAAACATTGATTTATTGCCTTTCACACATGCTCCCACCAGGAAAATAACATGCAGCCTAGGCATGTGCCCTTACGGGGAATTGAACTCTTGACCTTTTGTTTGCAGGACAACACCTAGTCAACAGAGTCACACTGGCCAGGACTATTTGTGATATTTTAAAGATGCAATAAAAGCCATGTATTGATTTGGGACTTTTTTCTTTTTTTAAAATACATTTTATTGATTATGCTATTACAGTTGTCCCATTTCCCCCTTCACTCCCCTCCACCCTGTACACTCTCTCCCACTCACATTCCCCCCCTTTAGTTCATGTCCATGTGTCATACTTATAAGTTCTTTAGCTTCTACATTTCTCATACTATTCTTACCCTCCCCCTATCTATTTTCAACCTACAATCTATGCTACTTATTCTCTGTACCTTTTCTCCCTCTCTCCTCCTCCCACACCCCTGTTGCTAACCCTCAATGTGATCTCTATTTTTGTGGTTCTGTTCCTGTTCTAGTTGTTTGCTTAGTTTCTTTTGTTTTTGCTTTAGGTGTGGTTGTTAATAATTGTGAGTTTACTGTCCTTTTACTATACATGTTTCTTATCTTCTTTTTCTTAGATAAGTCCCTTTAACATTTCATAAAATAAGGGCTTGGTGGTGATGAACTCCTTTAACTTGATCTTATCTGAGAAGCACTTTATCTGCCCTCCCATTCTAAATGAAAGCTTTGCTGGATAGAGCAATCTGGGATATAGGTCCTTGTCTTTCATGCCTTGGAATACTTCTGTCCAGCCCCTTCTTGCCTGCAAGGTCTCTTTTGAGAAACCAGCTGACAGTCTGATGGGAACTCCTTTGTAGATTACTGACCCCTTATCTCTTGCTGCTTCTAAGATTCTCTCCTTATCTTTAATCTTGTGTAATGTAATTATGATGTGCCTTGGTGTGTTCCTCCTTGGGTCCAACTTCTTTGGGACTCTCTGAGCTT